AGGGGATGTGCTCGCATAAATAGGCTAAAGACATTCAGGACAACGCCTCCCCCTGTTTTTTTCTCACTATTATATAGACGTCAAAATAGTTTAAACAAAGGAAAACAAATAATCCCACAGGTTAGGATGTTTACAGTGTAAGTGGCATCAGGCCAGCGGAGACCTGAGCAAAAATATTTATATCACTGCATCCACCTAGGATGACTTTTAGCACAAATCAACATTTGGAAAAAATAAAAGGCTTGTTTTGCTGATACATTTTTGCGAATGAGAAATGATTTAAAGATAGTGTCAAAGTCTATTTTAGATTGTGGTCCCTGTTTTGAACAAAGCTGAACTTCCTCCGCTCCGTCTGCGTCTGAGGCTCGGGGACGATGATTCAGTGTGACAGCTGATAACGAAACAAACAGGTTGGCGTGTCTGTTCGATCTGGAGTTGAGTGGGCACCGGCAGGCAGGGCTGTGCATCTGCTCGTTGCTAAATAAAGATCCACTTGATGGATCCGCTGAGATAACATAAATCAGGATATCCCATCAGGAGTGACGGCGTGCACCATTGTTTTGGTTCAAGTGGGCAGCCATCCTGACAGACGGTGTAGACTGGACATGGGAGAGGACAGGAGGTTCTCTCTATTGAATCCTGCCCTGACGGGTCATGTCACAACAGGTCATTCCTAAGTGCTTATATAACCACAAATGAATGACCTGTTCCTGATGACTGACAGGGCCACACCTCGACCAAAACCACCTAGGCTAAGTGATTACGATCGTGCTAGACGGCCGATGGAGACTTTGATAATGTGATGAAATAACCTCCTTTAAAATCGCGATGAAATGAAGAATGCCTTTCTAACACTTTTAGATCACATCCTCAGTCATACTGTGCACCTATTTACCAATATGTACAAAAAAACATATACAAAATATATCATATATTTTTATATCAACAACGAATCATTTTCTCTTTCTGTAAAACTAAATATGACGTGCGCTAACGCACGCTGGAACCGACCGACATCAACCAATAATATGATATCCATTCATTAATCAATCTGCAACTATTAGTGACAAGGGAGGCTAAACAACAAATCCTTCTTCAGCGAAGGAATGACTCGCCATTCCTTGCCTCTGATTGGCACGTGCTACTGCCTTTGTTGGTTGGGTTTGTTATGTATCGGCATGAGGAGTGAGATTAGTTAGGGTTAGGGTAAGAATAAGTCAATCAGAGGCAGAGGGTGAGGTTAATCCATTCGCTATAGGATTCAAAATATTGCACAAGGGAAGTGTGGTGTGGAGCCACAGTCCTCTGCTACACACATGCGAAAGATTTGCTTTAAATCCTTCTTGTAACTGTACTACGCTCAAATAATGTATATATAAAGATGCTCTAACTTCCATTTTACTGGGACTGCTAAGGGACAGCATCAGAATGAGAATGTGTTCTGTAGGTTGACACATTTCGCCATTTTCAACCTCGACTACATTTTCTTGTCATTTTCCACTTTATCGCTTATTGGTACAGTACAAAAGATGGATACAAAAGTCAGACTCTCAATTGCTTAGTTACAGTAGTTACATCTCAGCAAACATTCCTAAAAACACCTTAAAAACTCACCCCAAAAGCTCTAAAAACCCAATCACACTTACTCTGAGACGGGACACTTATACTGTACAGTTCAGTAAGGATCTGCATGATGGACAATGATGGTAACACAACACAGTTTTTATGCTAAGCTAACCATCTCCTGGCTGTGGCTGCAGGCATATTTCCCAAATTGTCAAACTACTGCTTTAAAGAAAAAAGTATTGGCATTACATGTTGTGGTTTGTATGAAACCCACTAACCACAAATTGCATGTGAATTGTTTTACTGACAGCCACGTTCCAAAGATTTTCTTAACTTCCTACCTTCCAAGCAGCAGTTGGTTTCGATTCATTTCAGCATGCAGTCATTTGCTACTGTGCTAGCAAGTTGCAGGTACTTCAACTTGGTTGAGACACATAACAGTGAACGGTAAATCGACTAGCTTTTGCACTCAAAGTTAGGCCAGCATTGTCATGAGTCAATAAAGTTGAGAACAGGAACATTTTGTATCTGCAAATGACAATGTATCTGCAAGTGAGTACAATAAGTGAAGGAAATTGTTCAGTGTGAATACTGACCTATCTACAGCAAACTATCTGTTTCAGTAAAGTTGATTTTGGCTTTCTATAAATTTAGAAATAAATCTAGAATCTTATAGTGTGGAGGTTGTGGGCAGTACCAAAAGGGATCCTTTAATAAAAGAATCTAGGGGAAACGGTTTTCACTACTTTTCATTGGCACTAATGCGCCATCTTTTGGAAGTGGACCGGGTTAATTGCCTGATATCTATTTAAAATGGTCAATATCAGCCCAATATTTCATTGAGCTGCCATATGAGGCCCGGCGCTCCAACCCCATCTAGACTAAACAAGCCCCAGTGCTCAAAACTGACCTGAGACAAGTGCCCCTTTCATCCACAGCAGTCTAATTAATTGAATATTATTTATGCTGCAGGAGAAGCAAACAAACAGAAAAGAGTGGAACCACCGAAAGTGCATGACAGTGTGAACAAAGACAGGGCATGGCTTGCTTCCGAAAACAAACAGCCAGAATACAGCCAGATGGGTTTTCCATTGCAGAGCTGCGTTAATGAGAGGAAGCAGGGGAGTGCTTCCCAGGGATTGCATTGTGATAGTGAGGGCCGCTCCACCTCCAGCGGCCTGAGCGAGGGAAACCTCCAAGAGTTTGGCCCTCGGTCCTACCAGCCCTCCTCAGTCCGAGATGGTAATCCCCGTCTGGGATACCTGAAAAACAACGATTCAACATCCGCCTTCAGTCTACTATACGAAAGGATGTCTGATAATGCTCTCAGATATTACTCAGAAGCCACGCTGCCAAACTTAACATTCGGTCCATGCCAACTTAACCTAATGTTCTTCCTGTTCTGTCCCACAAATTCGGGGAACTTATTCGAAATAAAAACATGCGCGCAGTGGATTCCAGGGTCAGAGCTATCTGAGATCTATTTTCGGTAGCAGGTAAACAGCTTGAAGAAACAGTTGAGGATGTTTGAAACTTATAACATACATATATGAGTTTTTCCCTTGTGTCGCATTCACAAGTTTGCACGCTGGTTATATTTAGCCGTAAATCAAACACATGTCAATAGGAGGAAGTGGCTGCAGGACTGGACGCATTGCAAGATGGACAGTCAGAGACATTTAACGTGTGAACGCAACAAAGAAGTGAGAAGCATTGTTCTTAAAGTCACGAAACACAAGTAAGAATAACTCAGGTCTGACAAATGCTGTTTTAATCTTGCACCGTCTGGTATGATGCATTCAAAGAAGATGAACTTAAAAGCACAGGTATGATTTTCTTAAAAATATGATTGCAATGTAATCATAAGGACAAACATAAGTAAAGTACATTTAATACATATCTTGTCCTTCATTGTGCAGGTTTTCAACTTCCTACTGTTGTCCAGGTTTACTTTTTTTATCTTGATCATGCATCTTAATATGATTATAATGCACTACTTCCAAGCTAATTTGTAACTTCAAACAAATGATGCAACTAATCAACTGCCCTTTAAACTGCATTTCACCTCTAACATGAATCACATGATACTTACTATATTAATGGATGGAAAGCCGAACCCTAAAGCATGCATTCCAGAGGTAACTCTCAACAGACAAACTAAAATATAAAGACTCCCTCCACTCAAAACTGTGTTCCGCTGTTAGTTACTTCACTGATGTTCGAGCTTCACTCTGCAGAATAAGTAATGTAGGATTCATGACGTCACAGCTTGCTTGGGAGCCAATCGTGGTCCAGTATTCAACTTACACAAATGTGATGTGGAAACTTGACATTAACAATATTTGCAAACTTATAGATTCTGGATATTTCCATGAGGAAGAAGGAGGAGATGTAAGATTTGGGTAAATTAACTTTTTAAAGAAGAAAACCTCTTCAGGACAATAATAATAATTTAGTTTTTAAAATTATTTATATAATAACATTTAAGTGATATTTTCTGCTTTCATCACTAGGTGGTACACTTAAATAGATCGAAGAAAAAAGACAGGATTGAACACATTTCTCTTAATGATCCGATTGTGCTGGAATTTAGATTTCTAAAAAACTAAAAAACGATACATTTATTACTAAATTATTTCCAAACTTAAACAGATGTACCAGCTGTTGGTGCAACATATCGAGTATATAGGATCAACAAGATCAACTGAGGACCATCATGTCCCCTGGATGACCTGCAACTAAACTTTACCACACTGACCTCACTGCTGAGCGCTGATGATGAGATGCCCAAACACATGACCAGGTTTTACCATGATATGCCAATTTGTTCGACCACCAGCCGTACAATCCAACACCTTGAAAATAGCAGCAAAACCAGAAAGGTCACTGTGCAGAATGACCCCTGCTGAGGACGGCCGACTTTTGTTTTGAGAAGCCGACGAGCAGCTTCGGACATGAAAAGGCTCCGTGGCTGCTTTTGCACTGCACACTGAACAGCAGAGAGGAAGTTCCCTCCTAGCGCATAACGTAAACTTGGTTCCAATAAAAGCATCCGTTGGCACCTCGGTGGACAACAGGAAATCTTTGTTTATCTAAAAACATCCCGTTGTTGGCCTCGGGGTGCGTGACCCCCATGCTCGCTGTGCGGCGGTTAGAGCGTCACATAGCAGCCGCGGCGGAGCCACATATTTCAAGATCTCAAAACAAAGTGGCCAAATCCTCGACATAAACAATGAAGGCATGAAGTGTACATGTAGGTCTGCGTCACACCATCGTCTGTTTGTTGAAGTGCTTTTGTTTAACGTAACTGTAGGCTTAGTGTCTGACGCTCCCATGTTCAGAGGCACCTAAAGTTAGAAGTAGGCAGAATAAGACAATTAATTGTACAACAGTTGACAAACCGATATGCAGGACACAATGACGGAGCAGATGGGTCTGTTTAGTCTACCCAGTCAATGGGTTTTTATTATGTTTCCAGCAACAGATCCATTTCATTCACAGTGAGAGTTCAACACATTTCCATGTCCATACACTATATCCTTGCATACATGTGGTCTATATACCAGAGTGGGTATATATGGTTGGGTAAATACATGTTAAACAACAGCCTAAATCATATTGCATCTGACAGCAGTTGTTTTTTGCAATGATGTGGGGCTTTTTTAAAAAGCTAAAAAAGACTGAAGAAGTTACATTTTCAGGATATTTGATACCACTTGTTTGCTTCTGTAGATCAGCATAAGAAATCATTCTGATTATTACGATGCGCAGTCTGTTTCACATTAAAAAAATGCACATGTGGTGATGAAGAAATGTCAGTGAGTGTGTACAGTACGAGCAGTACCTGAGCTCAAGTTTCTGGCAATAATATTTGGTGCAATCAGTTTCTGGTCAAGGTGCATGTACATCTCATCGCTATCTTCACAGTGTGTGCCTGTGAACGCTCTCTTAACACGAACGCCAGCCGCTAGTCCTCTCTGTGGTGTTTATTCACGTCTTCCATGTTCTGGCCCTCGACAGGTTTAGGCGTCGTGCCTCTGCCCCTAGTCCCGCGGCTCCGCCTGGGACGGTGCTCTGAGAACCAGTTGGAGACGGTCATGGCGAGGCGGAGGAGGCCCAGGCTGATGCAGTGCACCTCTGAGGTGATGGGAATGTCGGAGAAGAGGGCACGGTCCCCGCACACCAGGCCACTGCGGCACTCAAAGTCTTTGACGATGTTGAGGATCTCCTGGCGCTCGGCTTGCCGCATCATCCCTCTTATATTCAGCAGGGTGGAGACGTGCTTCTTCCTGTTGGGAGGAAGGATACAGTGAGGAAAGGGGGTGAGACGGGTGTTAATGGAAATTGGGTCTGCTTGGTGTCGTCAAAGGCCGTCGCATCTGTCTGAGTCAGAGCCTTTGTAGAAAGTGGAACCAAATGTTCTGTTCTTGGGAAGGAACAGAACATTTGGTTCCACTTTCTACAGGGGCACATTTCATAAGGGTCTTTATGTTGATAAATCATTACTTATGCTTTATTTATTGGATGTAAGCCAATAATAAGAACAACTTGTGTTTGTACATATTTTAAATATATATTTATAATTCTTTCTCTTTGCTTGTGTCTCTTATTTTGCAGGTTTCTAAAAACAACTTTAGCATCATGCCCCATTGCATTTAACTACGCATAGTACTTGCTACGTTGCAATCCTTGTTTATCCAGGTTGTGAAAAGTCCAACACATCTAGATACCTAAACGACAGAACAGATTGTTTACAAATGAATCCCAAAACGAAATGCATGACCGCTGGAGAGTGCCAGCTGTGCACGCAGATTCATGCATGTGGTTAACGTTGTGAATTGAAACAAAACTTGGTTCGGTTAAGCAAAGGATCATGGTTGGTTTAAATAATGGTTGTTATGTAGCCTGGGTTACGAGCGTAAATTAGCTATGTTACATGCATGACCTAAGTTGAATACGTTACGTATAACTTCAAATAGGTCAATTACTACTGCCCCGCGATGTGGCTGACTAACGATAAACACCACTTTTTATGATTTTTGAAGAGTGAATGAAATCACCAGAAGTAAAAATGCTAACGTTAGGCTATAAACGAACTACACCAGGGTCACATGACTTCAGGTCGCCATCACTAAGCTAGAGGACTAGTGCTCTAGTGATGACATTTTGTAGTCTCACTGGGTTCGACAACAAACCATCAAATCTCCACTTGTTTTTGATGAATTTGTGTTGAAGGGATGAAGTGTTCGCTGAAACGAAAGCAAGTGTCATATGAAGTGTCAAGATACTGGGACCCAAAAGCTGTGCTTCTCAACGGCTTGTGTCTGATCTACAAAGCAATCGAGTTAGCAGTTGGCATTTAAAGTACACGTTTGAAAAAAGAGGGTCTGTGTTTGAAGCGCTGACTTGTATGCCCATGTGTAGGCACAGCAAAGTGTGCACGAACGGACTCCGCTGCAGTTTAACGAAGCACCCAGAAAAACTCAAGAAAGGGTGGCAGCCTTTGATCCCCTAAAATACCAGCAGGGGATGCCATGCGGTAAACAAAAGGGGTGAGTCAAGCGGTGAGTTAGCATGTCTCCAGGTCTGAACTACTATGTTTTGTCCTCCTCTTCCACACCTCTCCCTCTTTGATTCCAAGTGTGGCACCAGTCTGTCTCCTGCAGGGTGGCAGGAACAGGAAGTACTCGGCGTCAGCTTCCTGTCTGCTCTGCTGAGAGTTGTGCGTCACGCGCGGTCGTAAGTTGCCAACCGTCACCTGAGTTTTTGCACAAACAGCCCTCTTTGGGCCCCCCCCCCTCTCTCTCCATCCCCTCGAGGCCTCATCCATTCTCAAAACAGACCCGCTAGCCTCTCCAAAAATAGCACCGTTAATGTAGATATGTTTCCGCACTCCTTTTCCTTGTTTTGATCCATTGTGAAAAAAGAAAAAAAAAAACATACAGTCTTACTTTTTCCATGCTTTGGCAGAGTGCCAAAAACAGCACCGCAAATGTGCAGCAATAAGCATAAAAGAATATAGGACCTTCGGGGGTACAGTAGAGAGAGGATCTGTTTCCTGGTTCCAACAGAAATGTCCCAGCACTGTTAATTTGCTAAACTGCTCACCGTATATCTGGAAACTCTTTCACCAGGACAGCCACCTCCATCTGGATAGATGGAGTGTCCTCCAGGAGAATGATGTCAGCTAGGTGGCAGATGATGCTGTCTAACCAGGAGGAACTTGATTCCTGAAGCAGAGAGGGGAGACAAAGAACGCAACGACAATTTTTCATTAGCGGACCACAACAAGTATTAATTGCCATAAAAACAGGTCCAAATGACCTCTTCACCCGATTAATTGTGTGCTTTTAAGAAGCCTTCAGAGGAAACGCAGATTAATGCCTTTAAAGTCCAGAGGCCAAACATTTAGCTGATTTACTGAGTGAATAACAAAGCTCCACCTCTGTTTTTCTAGGTCGTGTTTTTCCTTCAAACATTCAGAAAAAAGAAAGCAGAATTCTCTGGCTTGGCATCCACTAAAAATAACGAAGTCTTTTTTAGACAGCCATTAAAAACTCAACCCCCCCCCCCCCCCTCCGTTTTCCACGGACACTCCATGGCGAAAGAGGCCATCAAGGCCATCCTAGCGCCACATCAAAGCCGGCTAGCTGACAGGAACAGGAAGTTCCTCCTGAACACAGCAGCTTCCTGTTGTCAGCTGAGGTGACGGACACTTGTTTGAACTCGCGCACAGAAAGGGGGCAAACGCCACGCTGTCAGGCCCAGTTGTTTTACACTAACTTCCCCCCTCTGGCAAGTGCTAACGTAAGCCCGGTCCATCCATCTCCATCTAACTGACGGCAGCCATTTTTCAGAGCTCGCTGCTGTATCAACACTGTCTCAGTTATTTCTGACCTAGGAAGCTCAAGGGTCAGACTCTGTGTTCCCTGCGCCAGCTCTGCTCCGTGTTTTTAAGAATCAGCAAGTTGGAATTGTTTATGATACTCAGGGCTTCCTGAAAAGCAATCATTAGCTCTGTTTTGAATGCATTGGGTTTTAATTCTCCTTCTAGAGGTCTTGACTGTACTGCAGAGTAGTTCATTGCTCATTGGGTATCCAGGCTTTAATGACATGACTTACCAGATCCTTAAAGAGTCCTTTCAGCTGTTTGGCCTCATCTTGGAGGCGGAAAGCCATTCTCTTTCTCATCTTGGAAGATGTACAGATGACCCGTCCCCGCATGATGGCTCGGACATACTCCACCAGGACCCGCCGGTGCACCTCTCCCACCAGGGTCTGTCAGTCAGTCAGTTAAAACAACCAATCACTGACTTGTTACATATGACCCTCAAGTAAATGCTGTTAAGTGTTAAACATCACCTCTGATCCATTGAACAAGTGTTACCTGATAAGGCGGAGAGTCCATCCTTCTGAACTTCTTGAAGTGTTGTTTAATGGTGGCTTCAATGGCCTCAAAGGCCTCGGTGTTGTTCAGCCATTTTCTCTTCATCAGTTTGTCAAAGAAAGGCTGGAACGACAACAGACCAATCTCTGATTAACAGAAGACATTTACTCAAGTACTCTTCTGATGGCTAGCTGCTTCAAAAACATTTTCTGTTGTATTTGTTGTAATTCTCTTCACATCCTGACAGCAATCAATAAATCAAATGCTCTGACAAAAATAGAAATCCACCATTTGAGGCTGCAGCAGGGTTGTAATAAGCTTGTGCTTTTGGATTTGGGAGTTTTCTTTTACCGTAGGACCAACATGATTGAAGTTTCTAAAATGGGCATAGTTCCGCTTTAAGGACTGCGATGAGGCTTACACACCCTGATGTGCTCAAACAGCCTGTCGGTCAGCACCCTTACTGACTGGTTGATGATCCTGTCCAGGGAGGAGTTGGCTCTCTGCGCCGTCTCCTCGCTGCCCTGTGGGTCACACTGCCTGCAGCGCTCCACTAGGGATCTTAAGGAAACACAGGAGGAAAGGAAGCTGGACAAATTGCTGCAGGAAATGGAAATTTGTTTCAGTTGAATAATGAATCTACCTGAGAGGAGGGCAGCAGTTCACCAAAGCTATGGTCCTGGAGACATATCCATCCCCTCTGTCTCCAAATTCTGCCTGGGTCTCATGAAACATCTCCGCCTTCCTCTGGAAACTGGACACAGAGCTTTTATGAAAACCTACTGAATGCAAATATAGTCTAGAATTGAGCAATCATGTCCAATCCTATAAAAACACTGGGGTTTGCCCCCCCCCCCCGCTCTGTATTCAAGATATCCTTAAATCAGTTCAGCAAACAGTTCCTCACTGATTTATGCCTCACTGATTGCATATACTCACTTGTTGAGAAAGTCAGCCAGTCCAACGAGACTACAACGAGCCACTCTTGCCCCTAGAAACTGGTTGACAGATGTAGATCTGTCCAAGTCCACCTTCAACCTCTGGAATTGAGAAAGGCACGAGCGATAAGACAGCTGCATTTTAGGCTAAAGGGACATTTCACAGTGAAAATGACAACTTACCTGGATGACTGAGCGTGCTAGGTGGGACTGATACTCCTCTATGTGCAGGGTCTGGGCCCATCGCCTCTCCTCTTCATCCAGAACCTGAATCAGCTCTATGGTCACCTTCTCCTGAAAAATCACAGTGTGAATTTAAAACCTGTCTACTATCTAGATTCTAGAACAACAACTTTGTGAAAAGAGCATTTCTCACCCTGACGATACTGATGCAGTCTTGTTCCAGACGCTCCACTGTGTCTTGGGGCAGGATGGGCTCCAGTGGAGCATAGTTTATGGGTGCGGTTGTGCCAATGGTTCCTAGGACATCCCTGGTCAAAAGTGAGAACTCGTTACTAATTAAGTCCAGTTTCCAGGTTTGTAGTATCATCCTTACCTTATTGCATGAGAGGTGCACTGTCTGATAAGGCACCCTACCTATTGTAGATGTTGTAGAACCAGTCCAGTAAAGAGTAGACATCTGTGATTTGCAGAGGCCCCCTGGTGATGGTCCGGAGACGTTTGGCCACGGCTCGATGGTAACTGTCCACGTACACCTGGAAGGCAGCAAACTCCTCCGGGTAAATGGACACGGCATTCCTCCTGGCTGCATCCAGGTCGTCCACCATCCGACTCCTCAGGCGCTCCAGGTACGAGGCCAGCTGGCCCGCCTGGGTGTCCGCCTGGTGTGGCAGGCTCCAGTCCGCCGCCTCCATCACGGCCTGCCTCCACTTCATCTTGAGTCGTCGGGGACGCTGGCCGGGCTGGATCTGGGGGGCCTTTTGCTCTGGCTTGGTCTCCTCTCTCAGGGCCCAGGTCGCATCGGCATGCTCCTCCTGCTGGATCACCAGCACCACCAGCCCGAGGTTGGGCCCAGCACTGGGCTGGCGGAGAGACTCCCGCACTACGTCCCACATCTCCCTCTGCAGGGCCTCGTACAGGAGCTCCACGTCTTTGGCCTTCCGCCGGCCTGAGTCCAATGATGCGTTGGAGCTGATGGAGTCATCGAAAAGTGAGGATGATAAGGGGGTCATACTGGGAGGGGTGCTGGGACTAAGGGTAGGAGTGAGGGTCGAAGCAGCCGCGGTCGGAAGGAGAGACAGCAGCTCGCACTCTCGTTCCAGCTCCTGAATGTGTGTGTCAGCCAGGAGAAGGTCCCTGTTGTTGACCAACTGTAGGATCTCCAGCACTGGTGGGAGAAGAAGAGAAAAAAAGGCAGCTGTGTTTATTTGCAACAAAACGGAGGGTTGACCAGCAAACTGAGAGATCTGTTTTATGGTTATTGAAGAGCTGTGCGTGTGCTTGACTGGCTTATTTGTTGCTGATTCTCTTCTACTCCTAGCGAGGCTCCCTGTGGAGCCTGTGAAAAGTAGCCTGATCGAACCTCTATCTAGAGGAACCTGGGGTGGCAGGAAGTGCGGTCATTTCCTGATTTCACAGTCTGGTGGTGATTGAACCCAGTGTCTCGGGGATCTGGGGACCTCTCAGCCTCATCAGAGAGTTGTCTAGGATTTGGAGGAAGTACTGCCGAAGCTTAACTAGGAAGAGCAAAGGTCTAAGGGGAACTCCTTGCAAAAGACAGATTCTTCTGGGTCATGGTTTTAAAACTTTTGACCTGGACCTTTTACACCTGATGCCTCCTTGATTGTTACCTGAGAGGGGCTCTCTGGTTTTGACCGCCGGCTCTTCCTCCTCTGTTTCCTCTTCGGCCTCTTGGGATGCCTTGTCTGACATGGACTCCCTCTTCAGCTTGCCCAGACTGACCATCCTGAGGAAGGAGGGCCGTCTGGAGGCCTCCGCCTCGCCATCTGTGCTCAGGGTCCCGCAGGGCAGGCTTTCTCTGCGCTCCTCCTTGCGTCGACCTGTAATCCTGCACAGTTTCCACAGCAGCAATGGAGAAAATGAATGATTTCCCGTAGAGAAAACAAGGCAAAAATTAGAGCACACAATTAATGCCCAAGCTACATTTCTAACCCACATCTCTTCAACCAGATTGTTGACCGCGTGATTTTTGCATATACAGGAACGTATGAACAGTAAAGAGACTTGAGGTTTGTAATTACTCGACAGTCTGGCCCAGTAGCAGCTATGTTTGGAATGGCACATACTCAACACAAAACTGTGAGCATGACTGCCTCGGTTAAAAATAATCGTAATCAACAAGTCGCTGAAACACAAAAGAGGTTCCGTAGATCAACAAGTTGCATATTACATAACGCCTCAGGAAATACCAGCAGCAACGCTAACTTCTCCTCTGGGACTCGGAGGCTAATTCTTCACACTGTTAGAGCTATTCAAAAGGGCTCTCTTATTATAATTTTTTTGTGGAGTTTTCCACAGAGGAACAGAGTGTAGTATGTTGTACCGATTGTAAAGCCCTCTGAGGCAAATTTGGGATATTGGGCTATACAAATAAATTGAATTGGATTATTACGTTACAGTTTTTTTTTTTTTTTTTTAGCCCTTAACAAAGGGTTTTCTACAGCTCCATCTTTTTGTTTTCCTTTTTAATCTCGTGGTTCTTTGAGTTTATTCAGTATATATATATATATATATATATATATAGTTATATAGTAAAGTATATCTTAATCAAAGGCATCATTTTACTTTTTTTGTGTGCACTCCACTAGACATGTCATCCACAGAGTAGCTAAAGCACTTTTTACTATTTTATACCATAAATCCACAATTCAATGACACTACAGCTAGAATCTTCTCAGGTTCTAACTCTTCCTCCTCCCCAACCCCTCCTCACCGGAGCAGGGTCATAATTCCTTCGGAGCCCCTGCGTAGTCCTTTCCTTTTCTCCCTCTCTGGTGGGAGACTGTTTGAGTTTCCGGGGGTGTAGTAGGGAGAGTTGTTGCCCCATACGCTGCGTCCTGATATGCGCAGCCCCTTTCCCAGCTTTCCAAGGGTTTTGAGGGGCGACACTCCACAGATGCGCTCCAGTGTCCCCCTGAGGGGCTTCCCTTTGGGGTTTCCGGCCCCGTGCCTCTCTGCGTTCACCTCGTTCTCCTCCTCTTCTCCGTCGCGGCAGGATCTGAGCTGGAGGTTGCCTCTGACCTCCCCCATGATGAGGCCCATGTCGCCGCCGTGCTTCTCTTCGTCGTACAGGTCCACGTCCTCGAAGGGGTTTAAGTTCCTGTTCAGGTCCTTCAGGTCATTCAGATCATTTAAGTCCAGCCGGGGCAGGATCAGTTCACCGTTCACTCTGGGGAACTCCTGGCAGCTCTTGGACCTTCCCGGGAGCTTTTTCAGAATGGGCATGGTTGCACTTGAGATTTTACCAAACTGCAAAACAAGGACAATGTCAGAATTTGTCCTAATGTTCAGTTACAAAAAGATCAAATATACGAGCAACTGATTATCAAATGAATGATTTTCCCCCCCAGTAGCGGGTACACTAAACTATAGCAACCCCATATTGCAATATTGCTTGCATAAATAAGCAGGATATCGAGACATGACTCCATCCTTTCAGTGCATAGGGAATTGAACTTATGAAATGTGGAAAACGTTTTTCTGTTGCTAAATCAGCCATTAGACAGTTTATATAACTTGGAGCATACACATATGTTCACCTGCCTGGTTATGCAATGCACTTCCCTTAGCAAATAGGAAATATGTATTTAAAATATTGCTGCGTTTACACATGCTGACCTTACGTCTTATAGAAATATTACATTATTCAGAAAGAAATAGTTTATATAATAATAATAAATAAGAATGATTTTCATTCACCTGTTGATTCGGGGAATATGTATTTTATTTGAAAAGGCCCAATTTAGAGTGAAATGTTAAAGATTTTTTAAATAACATTTGTTGCCTAGACTTAGATTGAAATGCCAGAGACATGTCCATTTTGGTCTTTCTTTTTATGGATGTAGTGTATCCCAAGAGACATCTTTGTTTAAAGTTAAATAGTTGAGTCTGCCACACAAGTTAAAGGATAACTTCACATTTGGTAAAGTACATCCTAAAACAACACACATGTCATATGTACAGTAAAACAGTTTTTTGTAAAGAATCATCATTGTGCAAAAATGCATTCCATCTAAAGCGAATATAAGTCTGATTAATAGAGATCAAATGGTCTTCTTTTCTCTTTTCTATGAATATGTGAGGAAACAAAAAGCCTGGCTTTTGCACAACAAAGACTTTGGATGATGGATAACTCAAACTGCTTCAAATGTAACTTAAAATGAATTTTTTACATATACTGTATATATATATATATAATATGAACCTTTCATTTAACATTGGTGTGTTTGACATTTGTGATCTTAGTCATCACCCAATGTAGAATTATAGCATTTTAAACTCTTAAATCTATCCAAAGAGAATTTCTACTGTAGTTTCACTTTTAAACATTTTCACATAAATTCAATAATATCACCTCAATAAATAATCTTATCCAATATGTGAACTTAAAACTTAAAAGAATCAGGGAGCGGGGACGTAAATGTACATATTTGGATTTAAATCACTCTCGGGTGAAGCACATCTAACATTCTGAATTAATGGCCACCTTCCTGATATTAAATTTGGAAAATCCACATCCATGTTCTTTGTCCTCAGCAGCAATGTAGTTCTGAATGCACAGACCTGGAGGGTTCTTTGTCTAAACACAGTCCTCTGCTCCTGCCCACTGAGCAGCTCCATAGTGGGGACAACCGTCTGCTTTTAGTGGGAGATTGAATTCAAAATAATGACTTTGTGCTAACAAGCTGACCTCTATATACTCAAATCAAGGGGAGAATTAACGTCCTGGCATTTACATAATTTAGTCATAGAAATACATCCATGACAAATAGAATTCATGTCCACAGATTTCTGGTTTGGTGATACTTTCTGATTATAAACATCTTTGTTCATACCCAATTTATTTTGGTGTATGGATGAGGGCAAACTTTCCAAAAGAGAAAAGGAAGCACATATACGGATGTGCTTTCCATGGTTTTCTCAGCTGTTATGCACTTGGGCTCTGTGGCATGCGTGTGTAACTTTTGTAATCTTTATTTCTATGATTGAACACAGCCTTCCACCATTGTGTGTGGTGCTGAAACCACTCGATAACTCCTCTTCATACTGTTTAACAGACATCTCAGGGAAACACTGTAAAGGTGTTTATGACCAACAAAAGGTGGCATGATAAGAGGAGACATCCTTAAGGGCTCTCCTTCTTCATAGAACCGTTGAAACAATTCAGCGCTCATTAAGTTCAAAACATTCTCAAAGCTAATTAAACCAGAATCTCCCTCAGACAACACGTTTCCCTAATTCTATCCACTGTTTCCAACCTATTTAAAGGGAACACAACATAATGTCCAGGGACCCTATCTGTGTGTGTTAAAGAAAATGTCCAAACACACTAACTTCCACAGAGAAACATAGTCATTTGAACATCGGCACTTACCCAGTGAGATTGAACTTGCAGTGTTTTCAGCACAGTGTCATCCTGGAGTGTGCTGGGCTGTGCGGGCTGCCAGGTCTGTGGAGTGTGTTGCATGCGTGTGTGCGACCGATGAGTGTGAGAGTTTGTCCGACGAGTACTCGGTGACTCAAGAGAGCAATGTGGCTGCCTGTGGTTTCCTGACGGGCTCTATTGTGGTGGAAGGTGATATGTTTTCCTGAGGAAACGCCCCCCTCTTCCCTATGCCACTGACCCTCCGCCCCCTCTGTACCCTGGGGACCCTTCTAATTACACTAACTGCATACAGTAGAGGATAGGACAGCACATTGCCCTGCAGTTGTTTTATGTGTTAATCAGCTACACACACACCCTGTCTGTGTTTGCATGCATGCGTGTGTGTGTGTGTGTGTGTGTGTGTGTGAGTGTTCATCGTGACTAATTTCTGTAGGTAATGAGATTCAGTGGCCTTGAGTCCAAAATTCCATTCATACCTCATCGGCAGTGTCATCTTCCTCAGCGGAAGACTTTAAGTGGACTGATACGAGTTAAAGAGACGGTCAACACTGGTGGTGCTGCTGCTTTACTGCAGAGCGTCAAGGTCACACAGAGAACAGAACATTAACAGTTGAAGGATATATGAGATGTGTGTGCAAATGGCCCAGAGTTGTGCGATTAAAAACAAAATAACCAAGCAAAGCAAAAACTTAAGAGATACCCTATCTGGGGTCCAAACAGACCTGTATGCTCCTCATCGTGGCTCCCCACTGCCACCTAGTGTACAGTCTGGTGTAGGACAACAGGCGGCATCCCACTCCAGTGAGCAACCCGACTATCTAACCAATCTGTCTCCTCATGTGTTGTGTCTCATTCAAAGGTTTGACAAAGGTAAAGTCCTCAGCAGCCAAACCTGTAGTCCAACATGACCTTTAGCTGCCGGTTCTTCACGCTTCTTTTTTTACCCACTTTTTTATTTTATTTTTAAATTACAAAACAGAACAAATCAACATTCAAATCAAATTAAACAACAAAGACTTTGGATGTTGTCCCAGCATAATCACATATATTATTGACAAAGACAAAATAATGATAATAATAATAATAATAATAATAAATAAATAGCTACAAATTAAATTTAAAAAAACATGTGGGGAGAAATTTACAACTACAGAGAATGCTAACTGAGCAAATCAAGCACAATCTTCATGCTTCTTAACCTACATTTTACTAGACTAGTGCAGTGCCAAACAGCCAAACTGAATCATGTGACTATACTCCGACTCATTGTACCTCGAAATAACCCACAAAAGGCCCCAAAGCACTCAACCGTACTTCCCGTGTCCTTGAAATGTTAGTGGTTTGCAAATTCAGATTTGTTTCACAAAATATAACAATTCAAATATAATGCATTAATATACGTTATACTAGCATCATATTCTATTGAAAATTTGACATAACCTCTGCGGTTATAAAGTATAGCACGGATCAGATTAGCGGGGTGATTTTCCTGGCGGTAACTTTGTTAGCGTTACAAGTTAGGATGAAATCCCACAGTGGGCAAATAAAGTCTTACTCACTGGGGGGATGCACCGGAGTCACGGCTTACTGACGGTCACACCAGGGAAATTCACTCTGGTTGGATTCCAGTTGGCTTTCCACTCATGTTGACTCCAGGGAAGAGAAGAAGAGTCCAGGCTCTAAGGCTTTATACAGCCTTCAGCAGCCAAAGTGAAGTGCAGAGCTGGGGTCTGTAAAGGCCCACTATAGGCGACTTGCTAGACTCAAGCTTGTTCCTGGCACGTGGAGTATTTTACTGGTATCAATACAGACATGCAAAAAGGTGCCGTAATCCAACCAAGGATGTTGGATTACGTGGCGTGTGTTTTAGCCAGTCAGCTACCAGGGCGATCTGGGAAAATCGTATTCATGACAAGGTCCACAGTGAAGCATTAAGCTGTGATGACTGATGTGAGGCAGCCATGATGGGTCATCTTAGGAGTCATTGAGGGAGTGCATCGTGGGGGAGACGTGATTGAAGTCCATATTTTATCAACACTGAGGAGTCACTGTGGTCAGCAGAAGAATTACACTTTTGATAAAAGTGACTTGTTTTTACTAAGATTTTCTTTTACTTGTATGTAAAAGTGTAGGGCCATCATCATTTTTGTAGAGGCCCAGATGCTACATGTAATCACCTACTTGGGATCTTGCTTCGTATTATTCTTTCCCTTCCAATTGCCGTGTACTAAATGTATGCCTTTTGTCTGCATGTATTGATTTGTGCTCTTGCATCTCTCCTGCACAGGTTGTGTCTTTTAAAAAATAACTTCCGTCTTCACAGGAAACAACTTAGTTAGGTTTAGGCAACAAAACTACTTGGTTAGGTTTAGGAAAATATTGTAGTTTGGGTTGAAATAACTACATAAGTGCCGTTACTGAAGTATGCAAGTTATGTACAAGATTAGGTGATGGATGACAGACAAAATCATTTTGTAGCATATCTACGATTTTTGATGCACTATTTATCGTAGTCATAGCTACAAATGCTTGATGAGATCATCCTGACCAGAAAGAGATATGCTAATAACTCATGTACCACTCTGCTTAAGATACAAAATAAAGAAACATCTTTCAAGAAGACACAGTCCAATAACCAATGACTCAGATTATGACCTCTACAGTGTCAGCAAACTGAACATTGGAAGCTACAAAGACAGGATCTTTGCTATGATATTGTATGACATGAACCTGTACAGCACTTATGAAACTGGTACTGCCTTTTCAAGCTGTTCAGCTGATCCACACATTGCATGCCAAAGCACAACGTAGTACATTAAACAGGCACCCACAGTGAGAGAAATTGTTTTATTAGCAATTCCTGCAAAGGACCAGTGTCTCTTTACAGAATGAAAATGTAGTAAATGTAACTGCACATCTCAAAAACAGAAGAGATGAATGATAGTGAAATATGGTAAAGCTACAGTGTGTATGCAATGCAAACAGTGTCGCATCATACTGGTATGTTGGGTCTGTCCTGTAATCATGATAATAAATATCATTCCTTCCCATCATAACAGATGTTAAATAAGTCATATAGTATGTGCATTAATAAAGAGTAAGATAATTAATTGTTCCAGTCGAGTAAAAGTGAGAATTACACGTTTTGGTGCTGAGAATAAAATGTCTTTTGGAATACTGTGAGTGGAAAAATGAATATTTCTATGGCGCATTTCTTCCTCTGTGACTACTGACTATTTGTGATGAATGGCATCTGGAGAGTAACGTTCTTGCTCTTAGACTATCTATAGAGTTTATTTATATTTCACGTCTTATCCTTATCCTAGCAATAGAGTGCTGCAGAGATGATGTATTTTTGTAGGCCAACCAGGAAGTGAACGTCGCCCTAGTGATATGAGGTTTCATATCAACCTCAACGCACACTTACACATGTTTAACATTGTAACTACTTGGTTAAGCTTAGAAAAAGATCATGGTTTGTGTTCAAATAACACAACTTAACAACCGTTACAACGTAATTAGTGTAAAAGAACAACTAGAATTTCTTAGGTTATGTTGCGTTACAAGCATAACAACGCTACGTATCAATGGTAAATTCAATGTGAGAGAAATCTCCTGGATCAAAGAGTTTGTTTTAGACCACGTCACTTGCTCTGACCGAATACAAAATAGCTGTCATTGGATACTGTCTGGAAAAGGGTAGGCACCAAAATACCTGGCTGGTACCATCTGTCAATCAAATGAAGCAACTCGGGAGAACAGCGTAAATCTCTTCTCTATCGAGAAAAGCCTTCAGTGTTGTTCTTTGCTCTTTTTTCAAGGGAGATACTCTCCAGTTCTGATATAACTGACGCTATTAGCATCTACGCTAACCTCTTCAGGAGATTTAGGACTCATTCCTGCAGCACTCTATTATTTTAAGTGTTAAAGGAATGGTTTGACATTATGGGAAATATAAAAACAAATGTTGTGGTTGTGTTTTGTTGGTCAGGAGCAGTGACTTCCTGGAGCCTCATCATCACTTTTTCCTTCTTTACCTTGCACGGTCCAACAAGACTGGTGTTTTTTGTTGTGGTGTCATGGCAGCGTGTGCACTGTGTCTTGGTTGAGGAGGGGGGGGGGGGGGGGTCGTCAGAGGGCCTGGTTCTGGCCTCCGGTGTGGTGGGAGTGCTGTGGGTTGTTAAAGTGGTAGGGCTCGTGGCGGTAGTGGCTGTGGCAGATGACCGGATGCTCGATGCCCTCGCTCTGCAGCTCTTCCTGCTTGTGAACTCCCTCCAGCTTCGCCACCAGCTCTCTGATGAAGGTCTGAGGAGGAGCAGGGGTCACATGGAGCTAGTGAGTGGTTCAGTAGGTCTATTACATTTGTCAGTGTGAGCACAATCCGTTATTCGACAATGTAAGTAAGTATTTTTTTGTCATCCGGGTTTATTTTCAATGCGAGTCCCAATTCCCACAATAGCTCATCTAATATCAATGTTGAAGTTGACATTTGGCATGAACACAGCAAATCAATTATTTTCTCATGTTTGTATAACATTTGGTAAAAACTTCATGAGAGCACACAGACAAATGTAGCCGTTGGGCTTGAGGCTCAGAGCTACAGACAGGAAGTTGAAGAGCACTGAGAGCTACAGACAGGAAGTTGAAGAGCACTGAGAGCTACAGACAGGAAGTTGAAGAGCACTGAGAGCCGGTCGAACACATTGTTGCTTTTGGTCTTTTCAAGGGATTTATTGGCATTCGGAAAAATAAAGGATATCACAAAACTTTTTCCTTGAACTTTTTAATTACTGTAACTTCATTCATCTCTCCAGCACTTGTTTCACTTGAAACATCCTTGATTTCAACTAAGACAGTCTATATGGACGTAGCACTCTGAAATATACACCTGGCATATTCATTCATAAACATTGTCAAACACTGACTGTCAATAGGAGGTGTGTGTAAGATGGGAGCATGTTTCAAAAGATGTTAAACTGTTATAATCTATACTATACATAAAAGTATATTTTCCACATATTATGGGCAATGCCTGCAGAACTTTGGCCTTTTTAGAAAAGAAATGAAGAGCTTTTGTAAAGCATAGCTGTTACAGAGGAAGTGTGTGATCATTTTTAGGGTGGAAATCCCAGTTGGGGTGCACCATTAATGAAACCACTATTACAGTAAAAGCCAATTAGCTTTATAAGCAGTCCACCATTTTGTTCCAAGACCAACATTAAATGATAAACAATACAGCCTTTACCAGAGTATTAACCCAGCAATTAGAAGTGAAGCACCAGAAATAGTGGGAAATATATGTAGCTTTTAGTCATTTACACCATTTTTTGAGTGTGTTTTGAGTGTGTTGAGTGTGTCGTATGTCCATAGATGGAAAAGGGCCTGCGAGAGCAGCAGAGTCTTGGGAGGATGAGCCGAAGGCCACTGACAACGCAGGTCCAACTCTGTCTACTGTTCTGAGTTGTGGTGTAAATGTGTTGCTCAGGAGTTACTTTTTAACACTGAAAATAAGTCACCAGACTGTGATGTCAATGCACATGCCAGACAACTACACTTCTTTGAGGTCACCTCTTCTACTGCTTACTTTGTATAATGGTGAGTTTATAGTCTGATGTATCCAGATATGGTGTGTTATGGCAACAGCACAAGTAGAGGTGGCCAAAACAAGCAGCCCCGGTCTTCAATTAATACTGACTGTAAACATTGGTTTGACTACGGATTCATTTCGGTTTTCTTTCTATGGACATTAATCAGCAGTAATAAAGTTGATTCTAGTCTTGGCTGGTCATTTTGAGGCTACTTTACAATAACAAGAAAAAAAGGAAGTAGAGAGATGCTGTGTCGAAATCTCATCACACAAGCAATGGAAGTTAGAGACAGCCAGCCCTCGATGCCACACACTGTTCAGTTTAAACAGGAGGAATGATCAGAGCAAACAAAACCTTGTTTCAATATACATATGGACACTAAGTGCTGGTTTAAGACACTCGAATATGAACATATGTTATAACGATGCTCCACACCAGAGTCCAATAAAAGAAGTCGTAGTAAGAAAAGCAGCAGCTACACTGACTCTCCCTGCTCTTTTGCACTGAGTTTGCATCTCTGACCACCAGGCCACGGCGAGGCCGCAGCGAGGCCACAGCGAGGCCGCAGCGAGGCCGACGCTTTAGTCCAGAAAAACTCAATTGTTTCAGGCTTAAAACGGAGAGTGAAAGGCTGAGAGGGCACAGAAAGCCATTGTTGAGGGATGCGGAGTGACTGTGGGTCGAGGTGTCGGAAGCTGCAGTTTCACTTTAAGTGCGTGTGACACAGTGTGTGTGACACAGTGTGTATGTAATGCATCATGACTAAATATGTAATTTAATAAATGTCATTACCGAGAAAACGTACCTCTGTGTTGCTACTGCACCTTCGGAGAAGCTCCTGTCAACAAAAGGGGGATAATGTTGTAACAAACAGCCACATAATCATATATACATTTTCAATATTCTACCATAAACACTACAGTGTTTCCCATAAAACTGCATAATGATATTCACTCTTTCAAAACATGTCTATTTGAGTGACTTTCTGAACAGAATCCGTTGATCTCGGTGCAGAAACCTTCTGATGGTGAAGTTGAATGAAACCATTAGCAATGCTGTAGAAGGTTATGCAGTATCACACACAGGTTACATTACCTGTAACCTTTTGACTCGCTCCTCGTCATTAGGCAGGTCAATCAAGTCATCTATGTTCACCTCGTCTGGCATATCACCTTCCTGATGCAAACACATGGACACACAAAATCTTCATGAGTCACCAAACACAATGTCACACACATCTATCATCTGGTTCAACTGATTGAACCTTGCTCTTCCCCACCTCCCTCATGTCTCCAAATATAACCAATAGAGTTGCCCCATATAGTACCATTTATTCCAATGCTTCATCGAGACTTACAGTACATCACACTTCTAGTAAGTGTAATATTCAAACCCACACAGTTATTATTTAATAGCTGCACCTCTACTTAAAATGGAAAATTCTAGATGTTCTGTGTGTCATACGTGTTGTCCTGTAATTCATCCAAACACATCTGAGATTGTTTGAAACTTGAATCGAGTGTAACATCCAAAGCCTGACCACGTTGCATATCCATCATTTGCATGTTTAGGCTCTGGGGAGCTGAACAGCAACAATGTTCATGTAATACTGGAACAGTGGCTCGCTCTGTTTGAACAAACGGCCATTGTACCAGCTGAGCAGGGCAAAAAGGGACAGTCCCATGCAACCGTCCACATCACTGCACTGACTCCAGCTCTACAGCCAGCCACCATCATCTGTACAAAATGATAATTGTCTGTTAGTTATGCTATCATAATTGGGCATATGAAGAACAAAACAGATTTAAAATATTTAAAAAGGAGACACATCATGAAAAAGTAACTTCTTCAGTGCTTGTCCAAATACATTCTGTAGTGCCCATCAACCCCACAAACTGTGAACTAAGCTGACCCGGCTGCTTATTGGGCTGCTTGAATCAGAAAACATGTGAGTCAACGACCCAATCAGATTAGGCTCCTCTTCCTATGTCACATGCATGCTCATTAGAATATACCGACCCCAGTCAGAGTATCTCCACACCCACGGCAGCTTGACAACTACCTTTGCAAAGGTGCGCCATATTTAATAAAGTGTTTTTTTTTTAACAATTAACAATGTAAACATGTTCTAGTAGAAGACCAAAACACAAGACTGAACCTGAAAATGAGCATGATATTTCCCCTTTAAATCATATTCAGAACCATTTGCTCCTTTATTGTATACATAATCAACGGTTTTAATAGGCGCTTTATGTGAATACTCCATCGGCTCTCTTTGAAAGCTGGGCCCTGTTTGGTCCTTTTTGCTTCACAGAGCTGCCTTATCGTTGAGATGATCTCCTGAATTCTATTTTTCTCACAATCAACATATTTGGCGCTCGCAACACGAACCCCGCATTTTAATGTCCAAAAAATGCATGTCCCCTCTCCATATCCCCCTCATTAGAGACCACGAATTGCTCCCGCTGGGTGCCTCAGCAGCCAGATGTGCAGTGTTTACCTCCTCCTGGGACCTTTTTATACAACTCCTTCTTTCCTCCGTAACCTTTCCCTTTTTCCAAATCGTTCATCCTTCTCTCCGTTCCACACTGCCCATGTAAGGCCAGCCCCGAGAAAGATATAGATCTCCGAGAAGGGGACAGATGTGGACCTCACATCTACAGGATGCTTATGACCTTGTAAGGAGAACCAGGCTGCCCCACCTCTCCTGTCCACAGGTCCACCTCGTAGATCACCCACATGGAGGCCTGCAGCTGAGTCTCAGGACTGTGTCATCCCAATGTGCCTTCATGTCACACTCTTGTTCAAGTATAATTACTTTATATTTAAATGTTTTTGCCATGTTTTACTGTAGGGACTTACACCTACAAAAAATTGTCTTATTATATAACACAGTGGGAAATATTCTAAAAAAGCAGAGCAGCCTAAGCAGATCCCTATCTGGTCTGCTCACTGCTCATCCACCCACCTGACCCGAGTACAGCCGGACCAGGCTCTCGTCGATCCACTTCTCCAAGTCCAGCCGCCTCTGCAGCTCCTTCCGGTTGTACTTCACGGTAACCCGGGCGTGCCTCTTCGGGATGGGACCGCCGTGGTCCTGATATAACCCCGGATCTGATGAATGGAGTTCATCCGTTTCCTTGAGCGTTGGCCAAGTCCGATCGGCTGCCATGGCTGCTCTGGACTGGTCCGACTGGTTTCGCGTCCCCCCTTTTCAAACACAGGAGGAGAGAGAGAGATAGAGAGAGATAGAGAGAGAGAGAGAGAGAGAGAGAGATAGAGAGAGATAGAGAGAGAGATAGAGAGAGAGCACTGGACTGGACTGGGAGGAGACGACGGCACAGACTGCTGAGCAGAGGCCTTTTTTCCCTCCTGAGGTGTTTATTTACAGGATTTCTATACAAACAGCCAAGTAAACCATGATTACATTTCATTCAAATATAGCCCATAAAGTGTTGTATTGTCTGATACTACAGGTTTCTGGTTTGATGTTATATCTGTTTGTGCATTACAAAGGCTGGAAGGATATTACTGAGTCTACCATCTGAGTAAATATGACTTAAGTCTGCTAGCTGTGTTTGTAGCTTATGTTTCACATGTTACATGTTGCAGTGTCTCACCCAAACTGAGCCAAAAGCCAGCAGCGTGACAAAGAGGTCTACTGTACATGCACATCTGTATGCTCAGATAGCACAGCAGAAACACATAATAAAACGTATTCTCTTCTCAAATGTGAGGATTTGCTGCTAGCTGTAAATTGAGCATCATTGGGTTTTGAATAAAACAGGCAAAGTAGCTTTTTTTAAACAAAAAAAGCAGCCAACTAATTGAGAAAACAATCACAAGAGAGACTTCAATTCAGAGTCGCATCAAAGCAAATCTTTTATTCCACATTACAACCACATGATGAAATTAAATAATGTGAATGAAAACATGTAACATAACACAAACTTTGGTATGAACACAAAATGGCACATGAAGGAGCAATGTGATCAGTAGTATATAAGCTATATAAATATAAATTACAGTAATGGCTGACTTTGCATGACAAAGCACTTTTCTTTCTTACACCCCTGCTCTAAATATCTTTGGGATATTTCACACGGCCCTCACAGCCCCATGAAACATCCAGGTACGGCATCAAGCGTCGGTCTTCATTCGGCATCATATAAATATATATTTCTACATCTGTGACAATCAAAGTGAAGCCTTAAACATAACTTTTCAAATAAATAAATAATATAAAGAATACAAAATGATGGTACGCACAATAAGGAAAAAATGTCCAAAGGAAGATTGAAAAGCAAAACAAAAAAATGTAGTGTTTTAAAAAACAAATGAGAAACAAGCAAACATTAAAAACAATAACCCAATAAAACATTTTTTTTTTGGGCAGGTTTTCCAAAGAGTGTGGTGACTTCCTGTATTTGGTTTGAGTTGTAGGTCCTATGAAGAGTGGATCATATTATTTGTTTCTTTGGGTCTTGAACATGAAAGAGCTTTGCCCCATATACTTTTTCAATAATCTTTGTAAATCGTCTTCATCAGAATAGTTCATTTGTCAATATTTAGCTTCTTACGCTTACATTTTGAATGGTACATTATCTTCTGCATGAGCAGAGTGGTTTTCATCTTGTGAATTCGCTCCTTTTCTTCACTGGACGTGAAGAGCGAGGAGCAAGTGCTAATATTCCTTTACCCCGGTGTGAACATGTATTTTTTCTCTCTGGGGTTTCATCTCAGCCCTGCACCGGAGCCCAGGCCGGCCTCGTCCCTCCACATAAAGTCCTGGCGCTCGCCTCTGACCAGGCTGCTCTCCACAGTGTTCTGCCTGTAGCCGGATCTTCCGTCCGGGCAGAGGGAGAGGCTGAGGCGAGCCGTGCCATTGCTGATCTTGAACAGGCCGTTGGGGCCGAGAAAGGCCTCTCGTTCGCTCCCTCCCAGGTTGTTGACCGTATCCAAGTCGTTGTACACCGCGCTGTCGCTCAGCTGCTTCCTACCCTGCAGCCCCCTCCTCCTCCTCCTCAGGAGGACGATCCCCACTGCCAGGACCAGCACCAGGACGGCCAGGACGCAGGAGACGGTGAGGGTGGCGGAAGAGGGCTGGGAGGTCTGGCGCAAAGCCGGCTTGAAACTGGGCTGCAGCGTGAACTCACAACTCGGACCCATGAAGCCCTTGGGGCACTGGCACACGGGCCCGGTAAAGTGGGTAAAGCAGGTGCCGCCGTTCTGGCACGGGCGGGCGCCACAGGCGTCAGAGCGCACGCTGCAGTTCTTGCCCGTGTACCCCAGGGTGCATGAGCAGGTGTAATCGTTCACACCGTCCTGGCAGGTGCCGGCGTTCTGGCACGGGGTCGAGGCGCAGTCGTCGACGTTCACCTGGCAGTTGGCACCAGTGAAGCCTGCCTGACAGCGGCACAGGACGCTCTGGCCAAGGTCCAGACACTCACCACCTGCAGCAGATGAAAAGAGAAGTGTTACATGTTACGGTCTCTGCATGAACTAGTGCAGTATTGATGCAGGAGTGTTGACAGCGACAGTTTACACTTCAGCCACAAGGTGTCGCCACTCACCGTTCAGACAGGGCCTGTTGCTGCAGCGGTCCAGCTTCTTCTCGCAGTTGGAGCCGGTGTAGCTGGGGGGGCAGCGGCAGGTGTAGCCGCCGGTCGTCGCCTCCACACAGGTGCCGCCGTTGAAGCAGGGCCCGTCGGCGCACGTCATGGCGATGATCTCGCAGTTCTTGCCGTAGAAGCCCTGCGGGCAGGTGCACGAGTAGTCGTTCTCCAGGTCCTGCGGACGGAGGGAGGGGAAAAGCATTCACGTTAAGGGGGGAAGTCTGGTGCTGGGGGTGTTCCATTTGTTTTGAAGGGCAGCTGTTCATTTTCAGTATGCATTCAATATGAGATCTAGGGAAACGTATCTAGCTTCAGCAGCAACAACTAATGCGTTATAAGTCATTGCCAAAATGTAAGCTTTTGCACCACTGCGCTCGCATTAGAAGATACACTTTGGGTCCCCTGCTACTAGTGCAACAGCTGTATTTGAGATGCTGACTCTGCTGTCTGCAGACACCACCAGATTGCATACCCTCAAGTGCAATATTATTCTGCTATTGCAAATTCCTTGTCTCCTCACCTCACCTATCTCAATACATTAAAATACTATTTATGCTGGTGTGTTTAGTATTAAACACTTTTATTTTCATTTTGTTCTTTGTTTTTATATAGTAGATGTTCATAATGTAACAGTAGCATAAAGTTACTGTTCTTATACTTCTACTGCTGTGACACTTGAACTTCCCTGCATGTTATCCACACCGTTTATCTCATCTTATCAGCATTTCTGTAATGCAACATTAGTATGAGTGCACCTTCAAACCGAACAGACGTAATCCCATCGTACACTCACGTTGCAGCTGCCTCCGTTCTTGCAGGGGTTGCTGTCGCACTCGTTGGTTTCCAGCTCGCAATTGGTGCCTCCATAGCCGGGCCGGCAGGTGCAGGTGTAGCTGCCCTGGCCCGTGTTGGTGCAGGTGGCTCCGTTGGCGCAGGGCTTGTGGTTGGTGCAGTAGTTAAGGTCCTGGTCACAGAAGAGCCCCCCCCCAGCCCTCCTGACAGTTGCACTGCCACGGCTGGCTGCACGTCCCGTGGAGGCAACCCGGGTAGCGGACGCACTCCTTGCAGGAGGGGCCCTGCCAGCCCATGCGGCACGTACAGCCCCCAGGGGCCTCGCAGTAGCCGTGCTTCTCGCTACAGTCCGCCGAGCAGATGGCTGGAGAGAGAGAAAAGGAGAAAAGGGAGGGTGTGTGATTACAATGGGCACGCCTTCTCATACATCACACACACACACACACACACACACACACACACACACACACACACACGCACACACGTACAGGGCCCCCTGTCTGACCCCAGCCCTGCACAAGACTTCACTGTTTGTTAAGTATCAAGCCAAGCAGCTGGTAGGCACACTGCCGGAGAAAAACGCTTTCTTTTATCTCCCAAACACACACACACACACGCACGCGCACACACACACACACACAACCAGATCACCTTGAAAAATGTGTGTGTATTGGGGGCCAATGGCTCTTTCTCTCATTGTAACAGAGAACAAAAGGCAGATGGAACACCACAGACCGTCTTGCAAAAGAGTAACACACAACACTGCGGGACATCAGTCAGATAAAGGAAACCCTCTGAAAAGATTCCTGTCTTTGTAAGACATCAAGAATCAACCTGAAGAGAATGATGAAAACACTTTTCATCCCCACCTTGACAAAACGTGAGTCTTGCTTTTTAAGTCTAGGGGGGAGTAAAGGTTTGGGGGGTCTTTCCTTGCAAATATTTATTCCCTCAGCGATTTGTGTACAAACGGTTTGGTTGTCTCAACTCTCAATCCTCTCAATTTCTTCAGTTGCTCAGATGTTAATATATTGTTTTGTTTTGTTTGTGTTTGGAGAGTCACGGATTGGAAACTCATGTGAAGCCCTCCTCCATTTGAGTAACTGTTTTCAGAAGAATGCTGTTTACTGAATGAGTTTATTCTACTGTTTTTATCCTGACATTTTACCCCAATTTGTACTTTTATTTGCCTTATTATATCTAATTGCAGAGCTAAAGTGTTTACATTTAGTTTAGAATTGTGTAAAATAGTTTGTAACTTTGTTTTGAAAGGTGCTATATAAACAAAGTAGATCTAAATAGGCTTTTGTCCCAATTATAAATTACTTATTCGCTAAAGAAATGTGATTTTTATGATATCAAAAAAAGACTACAAATTAACAGGTTAAAATCAATGTATTTTAGGGAATGTGAGGTTGAATAGTGTTTTTCCACCCAGAAAACGACATTGTTTAAGTGCCTTGCTCGAGGGCTCTTGGGTACTTATTAGCATACACTTACACTCAGAGCAATAGTTCCCCTTCCAGCCCTCCAGGCAGATGCGGTTGCCCTCCTCGTCGCAGGTGTAGTGGCCCAGCGTGTCGTCCCTCGGCCGGCAGTACTCGGCGCAGCCGTCCCCGAAGTAGCACTCGTCGCAGAAGACGTGGTAGGAGTAGCGCAGCTCGCTCTGCTCGCCGAAGTGCACGTCCTGGGACCAGTCCTCGCCGATGGCCAGCCTCCTCCTAGTCGCCAGGCGGCTCACGAGGTTGTTTTGGTTGTCTGTGGAGAGGGATGGGACATCTTTAAAACAAATGCTGCGATGATGCTCGGATGGAAAGACTATACACAACAGCGCGTGTGATGTATCTCGGTTAAAGTTCCAGTGAATAAGTAACCCTTACCTGTGTATTCAGTAGGAGATTCTGCGTTCCAGGCTTCAATGATCAACGAAAATGTTCCCTAAAACAGAGGGAAAAAACGCGTTTAGTGCAATGACCGTGATGCATATCTCATATTGAACATATGCAATTAGTAGATCAACTTTGTGATGTTCTATTTACCGGCCACTTGAAGTGGAAGGGCACCCTGATGGGAGCGCTGCTGGAGATGGAGGTGTGATCGGCTCTAATGACGTTGGTGTGTCCGGTGCCGAAGGTGCATGGCGGCTCCGCGGAGATCACGTCCTCTGGGTGTTTTAGGCAAATCCTGAAAAATATGTGACAGTCCCGGTGTCTCCTGCAGATGCGCTGCGCCGTGTGGAACGAGTTGATTTTAAGCTCAAACACACCGGAGGACAAAACCTGCATTGGCAAGAAAAAAAACTACATATCAGACACACACACGCGTAAAAGACATTTTGAGTGAGTCATTTTTTTTAACCACCAACAGAAGCCAACTTACCACTTGCACTAAAGCCAGCGCCAGGAGGTATCTCAGGTGTAGATGTGCCATTTCCTCTCAGTGTTCTGCTTTTCACTTCTAAGTAGATGTCCGCATTCGTCTTGTGCAATAATATTCCTCAAAAGATGTCAAAGCAAAACTCAAAAAGCTGTCATCACTTTGAACTCTGCGATCCCGTCGGTTTCTCTTAAATCCGTGTCTCCTGATGATAGTCTTCTCCTGCGTCCTGTTTTTTACGCACTCCTCTTGTTTTGGTTTTGGTTCTGGTGCGTAAAAGGCGCTGACTGGTTTTTATATCTTCTGCTGCTGCGCGTCACGGGCAAAGAGGTGGAGCCGCAGCAGACCTCGAGGGACACGGGCGGTGGGGGGATCGGCTGGGGATTTAGACGACCCACATAACACCTGGACGGGGTCCTTTATAGGAATATGCTTAAGAAGCTGGCGCGGGGCAGATATGTGTTTGCATGAATCCTAACCGCATGAGGAGTGTGAGATAATGTGGGGGATGGAAGTGAGACGCCATTAAAACGTTGGTTCAACTAAAAGGCCTAAAAAACCGCAAACTACGCAACTTTTAGTGATGAAGAACATTTCATATATTTGTTTCATAAGTGAATGACTGGAAAACGGACGACTATAGAACCAATATGAAACAAACGTCATCCAAGTCAATGTACATTCATTCAGATTTTGGGGACTTTGTCAAACAATGAATATAATGAAGACCTCCTACATTTCATCAAACATCAGCAGTAAACTTTAACACCAATTTATAGATCATTGTTTGAAAAGGTGTTTTTTTCTTTTCTTTTTGGAGCTTCACACTAAACAAAGATCAGAAGGAAGCGGTGAAGAATGGCGTATAGCTTCTTCTTTCTTTACATCCAACATTATAATTGCTCTGGCGCGTGTGGGGTTGACAAAGAGTGGGCAGGGCCCCGGATAAGGAGTTATTGTGTGCGTCTATAGGCCTCTTCTGTCGCGCTCCTGCGTCTGGAGGAGGGTGCGGGGAAGAGGAAAGAAAGGGGTGCTCACGCGTGTGTGTGTGTGGGTGTGTGGGTGTGTAAGTGAGGCGGGGGGGTCCTGCAGAGTTTGGACTATCATGTTGCTTTTGTCTGGAGCTCATGCGAACAGCTGTATGGTAATCAACGGCACATGGTCGACCGTGTGGGGGCTCAGAACCCGGCTATTGTCTTCCAAAAGCGTCCCCTCCCCCCTCACACACACACACACACACACACACACAGTGACGCGCGCGCACACTAACCCCGTATTGATTTTAGGAAGGACTCTGTCGGTTCCAGCACCTGTCGCTGGCAAGGACGTGGTTAGAGGCTAAACACACCTAAACTTTGTGTTATGCACACAAAGAACAGAGCCAACCTCCTGCACTCATAGAAACCTGCATGACTCATTTAATATAACTCAGCAAAAACAGGATGGATGTTAAAGGATTTTAAAAAAAGTAAATATCGATTTGTGCTTGGTTATTTTGGTCGTTGCATGCAGGTGAGTATAACTACTTCTGTATCCCAACAGTGACGTTCATTGGCATATAGATGTGATCCATCTTCACATAAACAATCACTTTATTGATATAAAATAGCGAGTTCAGACAGTGGACAAAACATTAGAACAAAAGTCAAAGATTTCAACGTGGTATCCGCATAGAATGTCTGTCCTGTTTATTAATCCCACACTGTGCAAACGTTACGTGTCTGTGTATGGTGATAGTAGGTGGGTGAGTGGGGGGGGGGGGGTCCTATTGATATTATAACGAGCAAAGAGGACGCGTGCCTGAGGAGGCACCCTGTATATCCTGGCACGCTTCCCTGCAGGACAACAGGACAAACGGCGGAGGAAAGGAACAAACAGTTGTATGTAAAGTAAGCAGAGGAGTAAAAAAAGGCTTTTAGGTCAAACTCGAGTCCAGAACAGTGATTCTAATAAGGGGGACCAAGGATCTCCAACGAATTGTAGGGGTGTCCCTTACAAAATTTGGACAATTTAGATTTTACTGCAATTTCTGTAGGTCATCCAAAAAAAGATAAAAATGACTGTAATTACAATTTTTACAATTAACAGTGTATTTCCAACTCCTACTTTTTTTAAATGTGCTCTGCTGACTGCGTTAGTTTGATGTGTCAGCATTAAAATCATCATAAAAATGCTAAACACTAAAAACCTAGAACACACATTCGTCACACATTAAAAGCAGTTCTGTAAGTTTTGATTTGTGATTTGAACGTGCAAAGGTCAGTGCAGTCTTGGATGTGTTTGGAGAGGGAGTTCCAGAGGGAGGGGGCAGCTATGGAGAAGGCTCTGTCACCCAATGTCCGCTGCTTGGTCCTGAGTGGAAGGGACAGGAGGTTGGCATCAGAGGAGCGGAGCCTACGGGATGGAGTGTGGTGGTGAAGCAGGTCGGTGAGCTAGGAGGGGGCCTGATTATGGAGGGCTTTATGAGTGAGGAGAAGGACTTTGTATTGGATCCGTTGAGGGACGGGGAGCCAGTGGAGATTCTGGAGAACAGGTGTGATAAGCAGGCGAGCAGCAGAGTTCTGGATGTACTGGAGTTTATTTAGGATTTTGGATGATGTGCCATGAAGAATACTGTTGCAGTAGTCGATTCTAGTAGTCGAGTTTCAGCAGCAGATGAGGAGAGTGATGGGCAGAGACGGGCTATGTTTTTTAAGTGGAAAAAGGCAGTTCTGGTGATTTGTTTGACGTGGTGTTCAAAGGAGAGGTTGCTGTCGAACATGACTCCGAGGTTGCGGATGTGTGGGGAGGGAGACAGAGTGGAGTTGTCGATGGTGAGGCAGAAGTTGTGACTGGTTTTAGTGAGGGATGTGGGACCGATGATGATCATGTCAGATTTATCACAGTTGAGTTGGGTTGAGTTTCAGTCTCACAAAGATGGGACAAAAGTTGTAGCTAAAAAGAAGCTCTCCCTCCCCCTAATATTTTAAAATAGCACACATTGTATGATCTCAGAGGAAAACTGGTAAATAGATGATTATTACAGCCAGTGAATAAGAGAACATAAGCACATAATGGCTCCACCTCTGTGGCTGCTCTTGGTCTTGAGGATTGAGGTATTTTACCCTGGATTCCAAATAAAATCTAATTTCTTTAAAACAATTCTTACAAAAGAATGGAAGGATGTAAAGAGAAAAAAGCCCCGCCCCTGCTCTACATGAAAAATAAATCATATTATTTAAGCAAAAAACATACAGCGTGATCACCTGTTTCCAAATGTCATAATTTAAAAATTCTTCATCTATGGCTAACACTTTTTTGACACTTGTGTCTATGAACCCTGGTGTGTGTATGTTTGTGTGTGTGTGTGTGTGTGTGTGTGTGTGTGTGTGTGTGTGTAGCACATCTTCCTATCCATCATACCACATCATACCACATCTCTTACGTCCCACAACCCAAACATTAGCTTGTATTTCTTCACGAGGGACAGACATGCTTATTTGAAACGTATGTCCATCTACAGCGGCGGAGGAGGACGCGGGTGTCTTTGTGTCAGGAGAGCAGATGGACAGTGCGCCCGCTCTCTGCTCTGTTGTCATCTGTATTACTTGCAGGAGTGTGACACGGGTGTGCCACAGGGCATGGGAACCAAAGAGGAGTCATGTCATACCCCCCCCCCTCCTCCCAGGCCGACCTCCCACTAGTTTGAGTGGCCGGCATCTGCCTCATCTACAGCCCACAGCAGCTTGGAGATCCTTCTCCCCGAGGACACTTGAGGAGAGAGAGAGGGTGGGCTGCTGCAAATCTGACCCCCACAGGCTCTCGGGGGAGAAATCGACCTGTTGTGGACACTTCTGCAGCCCCAGCCTGCTGTCTGACTGTGGGACAATAGGAGGTGTGCGTACATAGTCTAAAATATATGCATGTCATTCGGCTGATTGTCTGATCTCATTAAGATGCTGAATGCTGAAGTGTTGTTGGGTACCTAAACATGCCACATCCCCCATTGTGCTAATTTATGGTTGAGTCAGAGGGGCGTGAGGCTTCTGGAGGAGCATTATTAGGCAAATCACTGGCTGGACAGAAATATTATACTGTATCTCTTGACACTTCCTTTGTGTTGGGAGACATTTTAGGCCGTTGTTGTTCCCTTGGGCCATCTATGGCTACTTAGTCAATCTACTTTTCCTTTAGCCCTCATACACGTGCAAAACCTTCACATACAAGACCTTCATTCACAGGGAGCATTTAGAAAAATAACCCAAATGTTGACCAAAGTGCTTTACAGAGAGACTTTAAAATGTAGAAATACATTTAGATAATTAAAATACATTATACAAAACAAACCAGGTACCATAAGAACACTGTCTGCTTTAAACTAAGCTTGAAATTCTGCCATTGAAATATCACATTAAATTATCATCACCTTTACCCAGAATGCACCTATGAAAACACCTGAAACCAATTAGATCAGGAATCAAAGCTATAATAGGATTCAGGTTTTCTCTTTGGTGAACAACATTCAAAGAGAAGGTTAGAGGACTGTAACTACAATTATACTGTATTTAGTTTACAGTATAATACAGTGATATGTTCATTTCATCTTCAGTTCAAGTCATTGTGTCGGATACTATTATAGGTATTGAGAAAAAAAATATTTGTGTTCATAGTATATATTTACATCATGCTAATCAAAAAGATGACGTGTTATCAGAGCACCAGTCAGCATGTGGAGAGAGATGTTTATTTGGTGTTTGTGATGCAAAAATAATTTTTATAGAAGAGTTCATATAGTTTTGAATAAAAAAGTGTTTGCTTTTGCAAACACATACAATATTTTGTGTGTACATCAATAGCTTTTGTGTGCAGAGGTTCGGTAAAGAGGCCAAAAGTTTCAGAAATAGGGTTTTAGCAAAAACTGTAAAGTAAAGTTTTTTTTAAGTGGCAACATTAAACATGACATTTCCTTCATAATCATTAATATTGATGTTATTTTACCATTATTTAGATCCATTGCATCCATACCATAATGTGCCATTCATCACTAATAATCCATCAACTTGATCTCCATCATTATCACTATTCCATAAACTTCAAATCAGTGCCTCTTCTTCTCTCCTTTGCTGCAGGGTGATCTCTCTATTGTCCATAATGAGATCTATGATGTCGGTATGTTGGGTATTGGAGACAAAGAGTTGGGCTCAGGTGTCTCATTCCTGTTTTCTTGCCCATTATTCGTGAACAGCTTGCAAGCTCTACACTGTTGCGACCACATTCATCATCCCTAGGGTAAACTGCTAATGTGCTACTGTGAATTGTCTCATTGTCTACATTTTTTGGGCTTGATGGTCCTGTTTCCTTCTGAGCCCTTAAAGGTGCTATACACCAGATTGGGAGCATTTCTATTGCTTCTCACCTGCTCTCAACATGGCGACGGCTTAGCTGGTGGTACGCAGCTAACGGTGCTGACAGTGCAATCTACGGCAACAGTGCTGACAGAGCTGACAGTGTTTACATGAGGGGAAACTGGAGGGTGTCCGTTGGGACGCCATTATCAGCTGTAACCTCTGTATGAGTGCAGTGTTGGCCATGATCTAGCCAACGGGGTACGCTCACATGCACTAAAATGCACGTACGGCCGGCCCGGCTATGTCCACAAAGCCATAGAGAAGCTCAGGTTACAAAACATACACAGACTTCATTCTCTGCTCAGGTCGATATTACTGCACTATCTCTTTACAAAGACAATAGATGTTTGCTACTACTGTATATTAATGCTCTGAATATCGTAAAGAGTACCACATTATAGAGCATTTTATAATTAAGTCGAAGGTCAAGTATTATAATATTTCTGGTCAGTCACTGACATTTTTTTGCAAGGATTCTAGTGTATCATAATTCCCATAGTTGTAAAATATTATAATGGTACATTAACTACTTGTATTGCGCTTTTCTAGTCTTCCGACCACTTAAAGTGCTTTGACACTACATGTCATCATTCACCTATTCACCCCCTGATGACAGGGGCTACGTGAACATCAGGACTAACTAACATTACACCATACTCCGCAGGAACCGCCTGCGGGAGCAATTTGGGTGTAAGTGACTTGACATCTACATGGACTAGCCGAGCCGGGGATCGAACCCCCAGTCATCTGATTGAAGGACGACTCTGCTCTACCACTGAGCCACAGTCACCCCTGACTAGTAAATAATCAAAATGATCTTTTTTATAATGTATGATTCATTATAATGTGATAATAAGTTACTCATTGTGGTCATGAAGGAGAAAAGTTGATTTGTGTGTTGTTCTTGCATAGATTTTATTATTTTTTACTTTACTTAAAGCAAACAATGAGCACTTAGAGTAACTATTGATTAAAGAAAACTTTAAAATCTCTTCAGCTTGTGTTAACCACAGACGTTAAATCAGACATCGAACCAACAACACATTAAATAAAAGTGCTGACTCATGTCTAGGTTCATTCCTGCATAACTCTATTATAATGCATTATAATAGGGATTATGATACATTATAAAAAGATTATAATGTATTAGAACTATAGGAATTATAATACACTGAGTGACCATATATATGATGTATTACACATCATACGTAATAAGTAACCTTATAAGTCATTGTAAAATGCGTTATGTGTTATCATTATTGTTATAAAGCATTATGACATTTGTCTTGGTGCTTATAACAATGTGTTGCAGTGCTATAAACAGATTATTACAGTTTATAAATATGTTTATAATGCATTATAGACATGGGTGTTACCAAATGGTACATTGACAAACATCTTATATGACAGTTTTCTAATATACAATCAGATTATTGCCTCAATGTATGGACCAAACAAATCTGTCTCTGTGAGTCACTGATCACGTCAAAACTCCCCCCCAAGTCAACAGATCCGATGAGGTAAATAAAACCCAACTGTTTGGCTGAGCAGCAGATGTGATTACCCTTTTGTCGGGGCACAAAAGGAGGCACGACAATTATTTAATCCTGTCCAGGCGCAGCGACGGAGCTGCCTTTCCTCCAGTCCTTCCTACCGTCGGTCCTCTGGTGGCAGATGGCAGATGAAAGAGGGAGCTGGGAGGAACGAGGGAATGAAAACAGGTGGGGGGGAAAACTGAAGAAAAGGAAAAGGGCACCAGGGTCAACTGGGGCAATAGAAAGGGAGAGGAAACCTACATATAGACTGGCAGAGGGAGAGATCGATGGATAGATTTTATTTTCCCCTTTACATTGTGCCTCTCTAAGTCCATGCCTCTTTTGGCCAGATGTCCACCAACTCTGTAGAAACATAATTTACATAAGCAATACTACAGATCTGTTGGATAATGCAAGATAATGCTTGGAGAAAGATGAAGAATAAAGCAACATATAATGGCTCTACTGACATTTCTGGACAATATTTGTCGAGTCAAACTCCTCTTTTATATGCAATATGTTTATATGTACTACCACTATAGTTTAAATTAGCTGTATATATTATATACCACTATAGTTTAAATTAGCTGTATATATTATATACCACTATAGTTTAAATTAGCTGTATATATTATATAGTATATACCTTGTATCTGCTGATCTGTATCTGTGTTTCTGCTGATGCAGCATGAGATTCAACCACATGAATGCAACGCCTGTTGAATAATAGTACAGAGCAGTCGATGCAGGAATTCAATATTTGAATTTAATCAGGCACAGGTTTAGTGTAAATATTCACTTTCCAAGTAAGAATAGAGCGTATTTTATTCTAAAGAAAGGAGACGGGGCAGAATAGAGTTTTATTGTACTCAAAGTGAATAATGCCCTGTCAGAGAGGCTTGAGTCTCAGGTTTAAGGGCTCCGTAAAGAACTGAAGGTAATAGACCAGAGCACAATGTGAATACAGCTGCCTATTCAGGACGCCAGCACTCCCCCACCCCCCAAGCCAGACACTAATGCTGCCCCCTGCCTTCCAGCTATATGGAGGGAAGCCCCCAGCGGACTGCTGCATTCCGCCCTCCTCCCTCCCTGCTGCTGCGGCACGCAGGACCGACCCCCGGCAGCTGTTTAGCCAACTGAGAGCAGAAGGCGCTGCAGCAGGGGAACAATGCAATGTGAATTAACTCTCCCTCTTTATGTGTGTGTGCGAGTGTGTGTGTGCTTGCGTGCGCTCGTGACAGTGTTTTTCATGAGTAATTAAGAATGGAACTCTGCAAATCAGGCAACCCCGCCATCCTAAAATCTAATCCCATAACATCCTTACAGACGCATCTTTATGGTAAAAGGTGGAAACGTTCAAATGTTAACTTCGAACTTGAGCTAGGCCTGAACAAACTTTGTCAATGGAAAGAAGAGTCTTGTTTTATTCACATACATTTGTAAATTATAAGCATGTAAGGAGAGTATTAAGCAGAGTAAAGTATTGATTTAAATCTTTGTTGTTGTTTTTACCATTTTTGTTGTCAACTGCAACATCTTCTAGTCATCTGAAAATCCACAGCAATCAATCTGTGTCAAAGTCTCACATTTTATGATGCACATTTGCAGCTCAGCATCACTTTAAAACCCTGAATTTGAAAGACGTTCCCCCGTTAGATGGCTAAAAAATGCATTTCATATTGAATTGAATTTGACAGTATCATTGATTAAATACTGCGACATTGCTTTAGAAATTACCCAATTGCCCTGTGAGTGTTAGGCAATAAAGCTACCAACATAAATGGAGCTAAAAAGAAACTCCCCATCTGTGACGGTAATAATGGTTCTGGTTCTGACTCTGCGTGTGTCTAAAGCAATGCTACTATACGAATGGAGCACTTCAATCTGGACTACAACAGTTGGATTGAAATACAATCAGCATGCTAAAGACTCAACAGGCAGTGCAATCAACCCAAAAGAAATAATGCTCCTTACTTGTATTGTTGAGTCAACAGGAAGGAAACACATGGCCAGGCCCAACAATAGAACTAGAAATCACTATTTGCTGCAAATTTAGTGATGCACCTTGTTGCAAATCCTCCTCAAGAATGTATCCAGTGTCCTTCTCATTCTCTCCAGCAGTTTGGTGGAGCACCCACTGCATAACCAGTAAGAGATGTTGGATTGTAAGGGAATATTTTACACTACAAGTCACAATACAACTGACTTTCACTGATGGGGCAACATCCCCATTAATATGCCAACAAGCAGCTTCAACAATCTGTAACTTGATCTTGTGAATAGGTATATTGCTGCAAATGAATTGTTACCACATAACCCATATATTGTGATTTAAGTAGTTTGAGTTGTAAATATATTCCTCAGCGCCCTTAAAAGACTATTTCAATTGTATATAGCCTGGTACATTGTCCATTGTTGAGAAGAGCAATCTCTGGACGTGGCTTCATCTTGTGTCTCCTCAGCAGTCTGGCCTCTCAAGACACCGTGCAGCAGAGCCCCCTGCTGCAATTTATATGAAGCTGCAAAACTGTCTGGATGTCTGTGGCTGTTGGACCTTAGTCTCCATCAGACGTTGGTGTCAAGATGTGTTTGAGTAAAGGACAACGAAAGATTCATACTTTACACTTCCTGAAAGACTATGCTCAAAGGACAAGTCCACCATCTCTGGTCTAGTGTCATTCTACTTTGTTCAGATTGTAAATATCCCTCCCACTTCAGATATACATCTTTAAAATGAATTACACACATATATTTTCATTTGAAAAAAAGGTTAGTAATTTCCTAAATCAGCTGGGCACTGTAGGTTACTCAAACATCAACATCTGGATACACAGGTAATACTCGTTAGGATCAATTCATTGTTGGATTTGTTGACAACGGGAAAACACTTTTTTTAAAACCATTACTGCTGCTTTTGGGTTTCTAACAGTCTATTTGCATAATCTGAGTATGAAGCAGTTCATATTTTCACTAGATGAGAAAGATCCATATGGACTTGCACATTCTGATCACTGGCTTTCTGAGTGTCCACGAGAGCACTTTGCAGAATCACAGCTAGTAAAGTTACATCTGTTCTGTTTAAATACATGAGGGGTTTATTTCATATTCAAAAGAAATTATTCAAACGTTCATATTCAAGTGTTCATGTTTGCAATGTAAAAAAAAAAAAAAAAAAAAAAAAAAACTTATTCAGTTACAGGTATTTTAAAAAATATCATATTACCTTGTTTAGCTTTCAGACAAATAGACCATATAATGGCCAGGTGCAGAAATCCACTCACCATTACAGTACATGTGATAATCTCCAGACACTGATGCAACTACAACTCATACCAGGACATACCAACGGATTTGACCGGACTTTTTCAAAATCAAAGGTCCAGTCTTTGCATGTCAACGTTAAACGAATGGAAAGGCTATAAATGTGGTGTATGCTTAATTTAAAAAAAACCCAAAAAACTACAGCGTAAGTGGTAGGAGACTCACTTTCAGTAGCAAAAAACAGCAAAACCTCCACATGTCCTTTCCTCATGGCTAACATAACTTTCTCAACCCATTTTCCTGTAACCTCACAGGCAGTAAATCCATCGATGCAACGTTTCTACGAATACAGTTTTAAAATAGAACAACAGAAAATCTGTTGGTTCCTATCAAAAAGTACAGTAACCAGCGGTGGAGTCTGACGGAAGTTAAAGGTTCCTGCACCTGAAGGCCATGTATGCAGTCAGTGGTACAACTGGGCATCTCCGTCTGGCGCTATAACGCCGGCCGCCCGTTCAGTTTGTCGTGCATGAGTGCGATGGCTCCGCCCGTGAAGTCTCTGAGAACCTGCACCGTCTCCCGCTGGAGCTGCAGCGACTCACGCACAAACTCCTGCTGGGTCTCCGCCAGCTGCTGCACCGACTCAGACAGAAGCTCTAGGGAGCGTGAAACCGTCTCCAACAGGATGTTGGTGGCGTGCTGTTCTTGAAGGCTCAACGATGCACTGTGTAGAACGCTGTCCCTAGTGCTCTGCGAGGGCTGACCCGGCGTTGGAAGCGCGGCTGTCGACGGTGCAGAGGACGTCTGTGGCTGTCCTTGTTTCTGGATGCCGTTGTTCCCTTGGTGATCTTCTGTTGGTTTTGCAGTCCGGGTGGAAGGAGGCGCGTCATCCCTTTGGTCATCGTCCGAGTCTCCGAATGCAGCTTCAGCATCTTGAGTCAAAGAAAAAAAAGGCACATCGGTGTTTTCTTATGACTCAAACATGTTGCGAAAATTCTTCTTAATCTTGAAAACTCACCTTCTGTTGCAGGTACCTCGTACTGCACATCAAAGGCAGATTGTGAAGTGTCCCCTGCAACATTCAAAGCATTTAAAATTGTTTAAAACAAAAACATGAAAGGGCAAAATGTGAGCCAATAGTTGCACAAAATACTCAGAGAAGGGGGACAATGATTTGTTTATTAATATGTAATGTGTGTTATGTAGAAATTTGAACTTCATTGATGTTCAGACTGGGATTAAGACGTTTTTGGCACTTACTTGTGCTGTAGGAAGTTGCTGGGGGCATAGCCACGTCCAACGCACCATTAGGAGAACTCTGCATTCCAATCATATCCTCCTCATCCATTTCTTCTTCCTCATCTGGCACATCGTCATCATCTCCCAGCGGGCCAAAGTCAGCCGAGCTCTGGTCTTCCTGGTTCATCTCCAGAATCTGCAGCACTATTTTCTCAGTCTGATTAAGGTCTCGAGAGAGACGAGAGTTGAGGCCCCTGTTGGGCACCGTCCCTGACCGCATGGCAGCCACTTTCCGCTTGGTGTCACACTTCAGATCAGACCATTTCTTGATGACCTCGATGACCTCCCGTTGGCACTCCCCGATCTCATTGACACGTGCAGTGATCTCTGCCCACGTGCGCTTCTTCACGTCTGTTTGCACACCACGATTGAATTTGCCTTTTGGGGGGGGGGGGACACAACAAAATGTCCTTAAGCACTTATTTTTCAATGCCTGTTGTCAGTGATCAGACCACATTCAACATTTTATAATATTCACAGATTTACTAATGTCTAATATACTTGTGCATGCCCAAACCATATTATTTCCTGTGCTAGCTTTATTTATTTCATATTTTTGATTAACTAGCTACTGTGCAATCACTCACTTCCTGGGTACCCAGGCACAAATCCTAAAGTGCAATCATCTTCACTCTGATGGGATCAGCACTTAAAATCACATACCCACAACAACCATCCGATGCTTCCTCACTTCATCCAACAGTATGTGGACTTCACTGAAAGAGAAGCGAGCTTTTCTTTTCTTGAAGCGAGTAATACTGTCTTGGTTGTAGTATACTGGTGAAGACATCCTCCCCACAGAGTCAATTGGTTTCCAGCTACTTTGTAGTCTCTGCTGAGCTTCAGCTTCTCCAGCTGTCTGTCAGCCGGTGTTGTGCTAACAACAAAGTTAAAAGAGCATTGGGGCGTTAATGATGAATCTACTCACAAGTGTCAATGCTGTATCAATTCATATTTGAGACTGAGATTGAAGGCTAGACACAAAAGCTTGACTTGACGAAAGATAAGGTAAGTAACGTTAGTATTAATGCAGTGATAGCATTCGTTCAGGCTCAACAGCTGGGCAATGACCGTGTGGAGCAGGAATAACGTTAGCCTGTGATGGCTGAAAAAATAATGAATGAATATTATCAACATTTGAACTGTAACATAGTAACATGCATAGGTCGAACTGTTCTCATACCGTTCTCATAAGCAGGGACATGGAGCAGGTTTCGCGTGATGATAATGTCAGTGCTAGCCGTGAGAGAGTGAGTGGACAATGGACGAAGCTATAGTCGCTTTACACACACGACATCCTGTTTCGCTAGTTAGCTATATGTAGAGCCCACTCGTAGTTATAGTCAAATTAACTATACCTCGATAACCACTTTGCACTTGTATTTTTACGAGTAAAAGCTATTTAATTTCCTCATATGATGTAACGTGCATTGAGTCCACTAGCTTTGGTGTAATGTTACACAACAGCACACACTAGGTTAGACGTTAGCTCCCTTTGCAGCAAGACAACGTTAGCTAACGGTACTTTAGTCAGAAATGGCTAATGAAGCACTTGGTTCACGTAACCTCACTTCACGAGGAATACCATAACGGCAAAAAATAGTTAATGAGATGGTGAACATACCCCCAAGTCTAAGAAGTTGGGATTTGGTCCAGAAACGTAATGATAAACTTCCTTATCGACAAGATAGCTACTGTCAAGCTAGCCAGCACGAAGCTAACGCTACACGAAAGATGTCCGGTTAACGTTCGTTGGCTTGCGTTAGCTAACTAAGTTAAAGCAGCTGGCTAAATAATTATTGACGGACATAACATTAGTATAGCTATAGTACAGGGCCTTTAAGTATTGCTTCCACATGTAACGTAAAACGATAACCACGATTCATCTTGTGATTTCGCTGATTACGTTGCTTCGTATTATTTCTATACTTTCCCCGTTGTAAAAATGTGCTTTTATTTTGAAGGAGCACGCGCATTCTCTGGTGTCGTAGGCTAACTTCTCACTCACTCACTCACACTCTCTCACACACACACACACACACACACACACTAATGAAGTATCTATGGATTTGGTTGCATACATAAACATTAAGGTTGGATGCATTTATTTGCAAAAGCTTGGCTAGAACTCCTTATTTGATCAAAGAAAAATATATTGGCTTGGGTTCTATTTTAAATTGAATAGCCATTGTCAATCTAAATGGTCCAGAAACAGATCCCAGTTGAGCCTAAAGGGGATTCCATTAGTCATTGGACAATGACTAAAAGTAGCCTGCAACAACTGTTCGTAGTGAATCAAGAATAAGACACATTTAACATACCCTTTTATTTCAAATATGGCACAGGTATTTATTTCCCCAAGCATTTTTCAGCAAAAGTTGAATGACTGTGGCTATAACTACATAGTTAAGAACACTTAATAATGCCATCTCTACTTTTGGCTGCATGCATTAGTGGCATACACAGGTTATATATTATCAATTTACACATTGTGCTGGCATTATCCGGTGTAGGCATTTTGAACATGTGCACAGAGAAGAGTAAAGTGGTTGGTGAGCCGAAACATAGAGGGTGTTATGGCCAAGGTGCATTACCAGCATTGAAATGGCAAAATATTAGCATGCCCAAACAAAGCAATGCCTCTAGGGATGTTAATGTATGTCAGTATAAGGAGAACGCACTAGCGGTCCTCACCGCTATGCATATACAGTGACAGTGCAACTCTGATACAAATCATTAAACCATGATCTGCTTGCAATAGGCTGCGGTGCAAATGCACCATCATTCACACATCTACCTTAGTTTTCTTTATATTAAAAAAAAAAAAAAAAAAAAAAAAAAAAAAAAAAAAAAAAAAAAAAAAGGCGAGCTGTCCCGCATTGTTGTTTTGGTGAACAAGAATCTCTCGTCAGTGAGGCTTGGGGCTGGTTTCACAAGGATAATGAATATGACTGTGTTCTAACAAATAGTACACTGGCTCCACACATTCCATTCAGCTAAAGGGGGAAAGAAAAAAAACACGGGCTAGTTTGTATTTCTTTAAACCAATCACAATCCTATTGGGAAGTTTTAAGCAGAAGACGCAGCTACGGTGCCCTTGCAAAATAGATAGCACAGACAGCAGAAGAGGAGAATGTCGAGTCACACTAAAATAGTGAAACTTTAGATACATGTATAACTTTATAAAGCTCTAGTTTTTGTCTATCTGAAAGTCTCTGCAAAGAAAAGGTCCACCCATACCCGTTTACCCAAATTTAGACCTCTTCTCTGGGCTGCACAGGTGTGTACACACTGACTGACACTCCTGGTAGTGTTGTTGCACCTGCTAGGGGCAACTTATACCATTGTGATTCTCATGAGTGAATGGATTTAGATGAGCTTGAGTAATTCTCAGTATTGCTCCACCCCACTTTAACCTGTCCAGAGGTCTACTCAGCTAGAACACCTGAAAACATGCTGGGTGCTGAGCCTTTAAACATTACAGACCGATTTGCTGTGTGGGTACATTAACCCTCTCTTAAAGGCTCCTGCACATCCTCACAGGTTTTTCCAGTTACAGTCACTCTGCTCGGGTTGAAGTTCGGTGGAGCTTTTCTGAGAATTTGCATGGCCACTTAACTCCCTGTGCTAATACGAACGCTAAAGGTGTAACGGAAAAAATAACAGCAGATACGGAGATGTCACTCAATCATCTGTACACGCCCACATAGTCCTGAGAAGGATATAATTAGGCAAAAGAAGTGGAAACAACTGTGAGTGGCCGTTCAAATGGCAAACATGGTTAACCAAGCTACAGCTTCGCATTGTTAACTTCTGTTCACTCTAGCAGAAAACTGGACATTTTTGTCCAATGTCCACATTTTGGCAGTTAAACAGTCTCAGAGCAAAACTATGATTGGCCTACCTCCACAGATCCCTCTTAACATACAATCTTTGTGAGACCAGCCGCATACGAACGGGAGCTTCCTGCTTTCACATAAAGTTTTTCAAAAATGTCACTGCGTATAAAACATGATGTTGGCGTATACCTCCTCTCAGGCACGAGAAAGATAGAAAGGAAATGTCAAACAAGCGCACCAAATGACACCAGTTCAGCACCCTGTCGTCTTTATGCCCATGATGGGTACTATTGCGAGTGCAGGATTGTGCTTTTCTGGGTTGCCAATACAGTAATTTCTGTCTCGCAAGTATAATGGAACACTACGCCTGCATTGAATTTAAAAAAGAAGCCTGCACACACAATGGATTTGCTGAATAACAGAGTTGTAGGGATGGTTGAGAAAATATTTTGTGCTAACAAACAAAGTGGTTCCAAGCAGGAGGGGGGACGACATTGTCTGGACTCAAGAGTACATGGTCAGCTGAAGCCACTGAAAAGACAAAGAGAAGAGGATGACTTCAGAACTCTGAATCAGTCAAACCGCACTGAGATTTCAGTTAGCTGAGATCTGCTTACCTCCTGAACATTAACTTTGATAGTCCCATTGTTATCCTTGTCCAGGGTTTTGAAGGAACCTGAATCAGAACAGATGTTATCATCAAACTTATACAATAACAATAACCACAACATTGTGTAATATTTCAATTTCATGTGCAATATAACTTTACTACTTTTTCAATATCGACAATATCTCTTAATATTATTTTCCCATTTCAGTTCAGCATTGGTGTAAGCATCACTTCTTATAGGCTTTGTATTTAACATTAGTTGTTGTATTTTACTTTTTCTATTGAAGTTGATTTTTTTTTAAACTTTATTTACCTTACTTCTATTGCTATTGTAATCTATTTAGCAATGGTGTAATTCTTTTACACTGAATAAATGTTTTTCTATTGTTCACATACATATACATATATATATATATACACATATACATACATATTTTTTTTTCTGTTGTAATATTTTCATGGAATATCCTTGGGAATGAATAAAGTTCTATCTTATCTTAAGCCTACACCTTCAGTTAATGAGTCAATCATTCTTATCACACAGCTGTTAATGAAATACATTTAATCAATTTATTTCAGCACTGGACTTTCAAACTTACGGCACATGGCATCCAACCTCACAAGGCAGCCAATGTAGTTGTCAAAATCCATGTTGCCGCCCTCATCGCTGTATCTGCGGATTATCATGTTGAACAGCTGGTCATTGAGGGGGAAGCCTGGGGAAGAGATGATAACACAAATATATCCAAAACACTGGTGTGATATTCAAATCATGAACAGCAGCTCAAAGAGGAGGCATTCAGCAGAGTTCAGAAAAAGGTGCGTCTATGTAGCTAGTGTTCACTCGCCTTGACAAGATAATAACATTAATGCCAGCAGAGGCGAAGCCAAATCTAACCTGTTTTCAATGAATAATGGTGAATTGATTATTATTTCTTATTTATCTGTAGGCTTCTGTCTTATGAAACCACTTTCCAAAAAAAGCATTATTTTTTGTTCAAACATGCACAGCCACATGACTGTTGACGGTTAATTTAACAGCCCTGTTGTAAGTTCTGGCTCCACCCACAACCGTTGCTTTACCTGTGGCTCTAACAGGTTTTTGCATAAGCTAAAACACTTTCTGAAACTAGGGCCCTCTTTCTCAAAGCTCTACACACTAAAACTAAAAACAAACAAATATCTTGGTTCAAAACTGTATCAACTTTAAAAAAAAAAATATATTTTTGCATCAGAATTTCACACACAAACACCAAGTCAACAGGTCTCGCCACATGCCGACTGCACACTGATGCTTTGAGTATGAAACACTTATCATTTGCATTTGTAGCATGCTGTCAATATAGACTGACAGAAATGCAATGTTTCAATACTCATAATAGTATCAGACACAATGACTTTAACTGATGACATGATTGTGTTACTATATTGTACTGTAAACTGAATACAGCATGTTGTAATTACAGTCCTTTAACTCTCTCTACATCTTGTTCACACCAAAGAGCAAACCTGAATCCTGATTTCTAAGTGATCTCATTGGTTACAGGTGTTTTCACAGGAGCATTCTGGGTAAAGGTGATTTATAATCGAGTGTTATTTCAACGTCAGTGTTTAGCCAACGACACACATGCTTTTAGTTTTGACTGATAAGTCTAACGTAGATAACTGTAGATATTTGCAAAAAGTGTGTTTTAGAATTTTTAATCTTGGTGTAAAGCAGAAAATGTGCTTATTTTTTGTGTCTTGGCAATTGTACATAACTGTATTACTGGCATGAAAAAAAGTTTCATTTTGACTGCATCCTTTCAGCAGATGTGCAAACATTTGAACATAAAACAAAACACTCACCAGCGGCTCTGAACGCGGTGGGCAGCTCATCTGCACCGATGAGACCGGAGCCATCGCAGTCATGAGTTTTGTACACTCCCTAAACAATAACAATAAAAAGTAATTAAAGCATTTATGCCAAGAAAATGTCATGGTAAACCGAGTCCTTTCTAACAACCTGTCGATATGGGTGTACCAACCATATGAGAAACTCCTTTAAAAATGAATATAATTGCATTCTTTTGTTTATTTTAGAATTCAAAAGTAATGAGGGAATGTCTGGTAGGCTTAATTCAACAAGCACCAATACCATGTGTCATAGTGGTGTAACGGATCACGGATTGATCCGTGATCGGATCACACCTCATGGTTCGGCACATTTGTGAACCGCGGATTAATTGAGGTTTTTTTTTTACAGTTTAATCACCATAGTGTGTAATAAAGGTTTACTGCTGCTGTTCCTTTTCAAGTAACAAGTCCCAGAATATCAATGCAGAGTGTCAGTGAACAGATATAAAGCAGTAGTGTGTTCACGTGAACAGAGCAGATTAAAAGCATTTCACAGTGAAAGTCATGGTGAGCGGAGGAACTTGAGAAGCCCCCGGCATCATTTAAGTCACAAGTTGGGGAGCATTTTGTCTTCCCTGTAAGTTATGACGGGATGAGGGTGGTGGACATAACCGTTACGGTATGTAGGCGTTGTTTAAAGAGAAAGACACAGACAGGTGCTGCAGACACGCCCCCTCTGTGAGTCACAGACACACCTGGTGCAGGTGCTGACAGAAGCAGCAGAGTGGAAGCTAGACAGACCCAATAGTAATATCCCAGTTAGCACAGAGAGGTCTACCCTCTTCCCAGGAAATGGAGATATTCTCATCTTTTTGAAAAACAAAATGTAAAGTTGTAGACCATTTCACAGTAGACCAAAGTTGTTGCCTAGCAGTTCAGTTCAGTTGAAACAGTGGAAGCTAGCTCACTGGTTGTTTCTTTCTTTCAATATTGATCCAAGGACGAGAGTATCAACATACCTCAGGTATAACAGGTTATAACTACGATTCATTTGACAGGAAATGAAATAATCTGCTACACATTGATAATGTGTCCTTCAGTAAAACACAGTATACCAATTTATGTCTATGTAAAACATGGCAGTCAATCAAATAAGTGTAGCACACTGTACATTCAGAAAACAGATGTGAGGGACAAATGAAATGGGCGCTCTGTACTCACCTGCCATTTCTTTATATTGTTCCAGAGCTGTTTGAATTCATGAAAGCCGAGTCTTCCAGTGCTGTCACTCTGTAACAGCATTAAGGACAACAGACAATGTCTTCTTTGGCTCCATCTTAAACAAACAGTTGACTTACTTGTGGACATGCTGTATTTGCCAAAGGCGCGATTTTACGTGACTTCCTCATTCGTGTGGTAAAGTAAAGTAAATTCCCAGTAGGGAATGAGTGTCAACTTTTTTTCTCCGACTTGGTCGGCACTCCTTTGATGTGTTTCATTGAGCTGTGGGTGGGACAGAGTCTGGTGAGCCAACACATCTCTTTTTATAGCCAGTTGTGTGTGTGTGTATTTTTACAGTTGGCTTCATACTGGATCACACGACATATAAAGCCCAGTAATAATAGAAAGGATACATCCATGACTGCCACCATGCTCCTACAAGACTCAATGCTGAAACCATCTGTCTGCAGGTCTCCACCTGAAATGCAACAAACCATGTTACCATGTTGTACGCCTCTTTTCAAAGACACATAAAAATGTGTATAAATATTGCAACGGACTAAACCAATACAGAGTGTGGTAGACCACACAGAACTACAAGAAATGCATGCAGGCATTTATAAGAGATAAGGCCTTTGAACATAGGGGGGGCGATATGTTTTGTGAAATTAATTTGCACGTCAATATACATGTTTTTGAACTGTTGTTTTTGTTGTGAATACTTTGACATAAAACACGATTATTACACGGCGGAAAAGCGACGTCATTTTTTTCCGATACAAGGTGGATTTCTCTAAGCTTTTGCTCTGTTCTTACCTTACACAATAAAAGCCCTAGACAAACTTTCACAATAAAAGCCTTACACAAAAAATATTTGCAGGTCAGTATTATGCATTTTCGTGGATAGTCATCACGCCCCCGGTGTTTAAAGGCCTTTAGACTCTAAATATAGCATACGTCTTACGCTTTGAAATGATTTTGTTGAGGATATCCATCAGCTCTTTCGGGCTCACTTCCATGTCCTAAAAGACAAATATTTTACAAAGTCAGCAGAAACCAGTACAGATTCTCAACTGTATGGTGTAACAAAATGAATGCTGTAGAAATGTTATTTGAACAGTTAAAATACCCTTTAGCCTTTGATTTTCTAGGATTAACGAAGTTGAATATTTATATAGATTGTGCGATTACTGCAGAAACCAACATAGCTTCAAAGAGAGGTACATGTAGATATAGCACTCACCTCTCCAGCGAGCTGCTGGAAGACCCTGCGGAACTGTTTCTCCTCATCGCTCTCATGCTGCTCGGCATATACAACTGGCCTGCGTGGTGGAGGCTGCGGGAGAGAGTCACAGCAAACATTACAATCCGGAGTTAGAATGAGAGCGATGATCAAACCGAGCTGGTAATGTAATGTCAAATTACTCACAGGGTCAGAAGGAACAAACTGGTCGATGTTGTTACTAAGAAAGGATTAAAAATAAAGAGAGAGGTTAAGTCACAAACCACAATTATTTTTGGCTTGGACAGGGAAGATGCAGATTCTCACCTGACAACATCGATGATGCCACTGAGAAAGGACTTTGCAAGAAACATCTTCCTTTAACTGTGAAGGCAAAATGCAACAAGAATTAGGGGAAAGATTTACACCGCAGATTCATGACTTCAGCACCACAGGATCATGTTTTGTTTTTACATGCATCTACATGCCATAAGTAGAATAAAAATAATTCGAAATGAATGGCAGCAGTGATCACTTGTGGTTAGAGTAATACAGGTAAAAAGTCACTGTAGCAATTTACTAGAGCTAGGCTAAATTACAAAGTGCTGAGGTTTCTCCTGTCTGGTGCTGTGAAGAGGTCTGTAGCTCAGGAATCCCAAGCAAAACCCGAATTTAGTTTTTAGTGAAAATATAACAATGCAAATACTATATATTTGAATCACAAAGCATTAGTAAATGGTTCACAAATAACAAACAAACAGACAATTCAATGTGAATGTCACCCGTTACAAAAATGCACGGGTGTTTGCAGCAGTACTGGTTGAGCTTGTTATCAATGTCTTGCGTTTTCCTCGATTGCACAGCCCAATTAGTGAAAAAATGTAATGCCGCACCCAGATTGCGAAAAGCAGATCCGTTTTAAAAGGTTATCTTGATGAATCATAAGTTGATTTGAACTTTAAAACTTGCATTACAGGGTAACTAAATGTCCCACTTCAGGGTCAACGTAACGTTATTGCTAAGACTGGGCAAGTTAACGTGTTCTAACTTTACATTATGTCGTAACATTACGCTCGAATAACAGCATTATGTCAGGTTATCTTCTGTTATTTACCCAATCAATTACGGCAGCCTAAAACCATTGAAGTATTGTCGACACCGTGCAGTCTCTTCCTAACAGTATGGATTTTAAATGGAATGTAGTGACGGTAGCCTGTAAATATGCGAACGCTAGCTAGCTAACTTATGTTTTAGCTAAGCTAACATCAAGCTAACCATCGGTCATAAAACTTGGAATTACCGTTATTATCAAATATCTAATCCTATATTGTTATCTTTTAAGGTAAACAATACTTTGGTCATCTAAAACTCGACGTTTATATTCAACGTTACCGTGAGGCGACAGCACTCTGTCGAGTTGAGCAGGATAACTGGCTGAGTTCGTGAGTTACTTTAAACTCCGCTTGCAGGATGGTCCGTCAACACGCCCCAACTGACGCTACAGAGAGTAACTGGGATGCGAGATAATATCTCACAGTCGTTTCCGTCTTTGCTTCGGGTTTCAGTACAGGAAACGATTGGCTTGATTTGACGCGAAACACTTGAATGAGATGAGTCAGGCCGAAGCAGACTTGCGCAACTATCGGCATTGCTGTCTTGCTGAGTGCATTGTATGAGCTTCTTGTAGTAAAAAAATATTCTGTTAAATATTCGAGGTCTATGCTCCTGAGCAGAGCCGACCACCACGGAAGTTTAAAGTGCTTGACAGTCACGTGATTCACTGAGACCTCACACAGTTCCAGGAAGTCCTTGGCGGTCAATATGAATGCGTTTTACGCGACTTTTTGGTAATGAGTAGTCGATGGATGCATTCATTTACAATAGTTATATAGCACACACCGACGTGTGTATGTAGTTAAATCAGTATGATGTTAAAACAAGTTAAATTCTCAAATACCGTCACTCGTTAAATCAGGTGTGACCCTGTAACACCAAAACATCCACTTTCATTATAGATCATAATGTTACTGTTTTTAATGCACCATTTTTAATAATGTAGCTTGCATATCATCTATCTCTGTCATGACATGTAGACATACACATACTGTAGGCTACAAATCATTCAGTCCATGTCCATTCAGTATTTATTTATTTTAATTGTTTTGTATATTTGTGAACATAATAGTTCTGTCTGTTCTTTAGCTTTTAATAATAATAATAATAATAATACATTTTATTTATATAGCACTTTAAAAGGCACTCAAAGACACTTTACATGTTAAAAACAGAAACAATAAAAGCATTTATAATAAAAACAAAATCTACAACATAACAGTAAGAAAATAAAAAAAAATAAAAAATAAACACGAAGAGAAAGAAAACATACATGACTGACTTTAGAGGTGAAAAGCAGATTTAAATAGGTGAGTTTTAAGTGCAGTTTTGAAGGTGGCGAGTGACGGAGAATGTCTGAGGTGTTGGGGCAGGGAGTTCCAGAGAGAGGGGGCAGCAACGGAGAAGGCCCTGTCCCCCCAGGTCCGATGCTTGGACAGAGTAGGGGAGGTAAGGAGGTTGGCGTCGGCGGATCTGAGGTTGCGGTTGGGAGTGTGACGGTGCAGGAGGTCTGAAAGGTATGAAGGGGCGAGGTTGTAGAGGGCTTTGTAGGTGATGAGGAGAATCTTGAACTGGATTCTTTGCTGTATGGGGAGCGGAGGTTTTGAAGGACTGGGGTGATGTGGTCACTGGTGCTGGAGTGGGAGAGCAGACGGGCAGCAGAGTTCTGGATGTATTGTAGTTTATTGATGATTTTGGTGGGTCAGCCGTACAGGATGCTGTTGCAGTAATCCAGTCGAGAGGTGATGAAGGCGTGCATGAGTGTTTCAGCGGCTGCGGAGGAGAGAGAGGGACGGAGACGGGCGATGTTTTTGAGATGGAAGAAGGCGGTTTTTCTGATGTGATTGATGTGTTGTTCATAGGAGAGAGTTCGATCGAAAATGATCCCAAGGTTACGGACATGTGTGGAGGCAGGAACAGTGGTGCCATCGATGCAGAGGGAGAAGTTGTGGAGGGATTTGTTTAATGATTTGGGGCCGATGATGAGGACTTCAGATTTGTCGGTGTTGAGTTTGAGGAAGTGCTTGCATCCAGGTTTTTATATCTGTTAGGCAGTTGGTGATGTTGGAGTGGATGGTGGGGGTGATGGATTTGGTGGAGATGTAGAGCTGGGTGTCGTCAGCGTAGCAGTGGTACTGGAGACCATGGTGGCGTATGATGTCGCCAAGGGGGAGCAGGTAGAGGATGAAGAGGAGGGGACCGAGTACTGAACCTTGGGGGACAACTTGAGAGACTGGGGCTGTGTCAGACTCGAATTTGTTGATGCTGATGAACTGTTCACGGTCAGAGAGGTATAATTTAAACCAGGAGAGGGCTGTGCCAGTGATGTGGAGGGAGGACTCGAGACGGGAAAGGAGGATGGAGTGGTTGATGGTGTCGAAGGCTGCGCTGAGGTCGAGCAGTATCACCTTTGTTGTCATTGTTCCTAGCTTTTATATCTGTGTAAGTACATGAGAGCAATGCAAAAATATTAGTCAAATTCCTTGCATGTGTACACGTACTTGGCCAATCAAAATTATTCTGATTCTCATATGAAAGGTTAGCTACTGGCCTGGTTTACATATTTTAGTTACCTTGGTTAAAGTATTTTTTTTGTTATGTTCTTAAACTTGTATGGTAGTCAAGATAAAGCACATCCAAATGTTTATTGGTTGTTTGAGGGCCTAAGTAATCTTATTGACTGTCTCTCTGTCTATCTGTAATGTAATCTTTATAACCTTCAGAAAGGACCGAAGGAGACCGACAGATGACTATCAATGTTAACTGAAAGCACAATGGCTCAGTGGACTATAAGTAGCAGGATGATAATGTGAAGTGTGTCGTAAGAAATGCATTGCAAATAAGTGGAATTGAATTAATCCTTCTGTTTACAATTGTTATGCACCCCTGGACTTATTAATATATACATTGTTACATGATATTATCAAATGCAAAAAAAAGATCTGTCCTGGCCCCACAGTGGTGGAATGAACTCCCCACTGACGTGAGGACAGCAGAGTCGCAGCCCATCTTTCGGTGCAAGCTGAAAACTCACCTCTTCAAGGACTACCCTGAGCCTTCCACTTAGCACTTATTGTATTCGTTATTAGTTTGTTTCTGCACTGTACGTTTGATCTGATTTATGCTCTTAGATGCTTGTTTAAAAAAGGAGATGCACTTATGACTTCTGGTGACTAGTAATTCTCTTGAATACTGATGTTGAATACACTTATTGTAAGTCACTTTGGATAAAAGCGTCTGCTAAATGACTGTAATGTAATGTAATGTAAAACAACTTAATTATTTACTTTTTGCGTGCAAAGGGCAGATCAACAGATTCTTACAAATGGACAGCCCTATTGGGTTTTACTGGGGTCCTTTGTTGCGTGTCCTTCCCCATCTCTCTGTCATCTCTCAATGTCGACCCAAAAACAGAAGCACAAAAATTCCCCCCAAAAATACTCAAAAAGAAGCCACAAAATCCTACAGTGTAATCATTCTACCAAGTTTCAGTCCACAGGAAGATCAATCAGTTTGATCGCCTTGTAATCTTCACAGGGTGACATATCAAGCAAGCTGTACTTCACCAAAATTCTTGGGCCAACTGGCGTGAAAATGGGCGAAGATGAAGAATTTGAACATTGGCACAAAGACCAAGTTTTGACTTCAATCATCTGCTTCCGCCCCTCAGGTTTAACTGACTCAACATGGGACTGAACACAGAACACAAGAAGAGCTGAGGGAGAGAAACTGTCTGCTCACTACAGCTGCCTCCAAAGAGGCTTCACACAAAAAAAAATGGCAGTTGCCAGTCTTTGTACGTGCAGATTTTTAATTTGACAGTGTCTGTGAATGTAAGGGCTGGATAATACCAGCAGGTGGAGTCAGAGAGAAGTTGACAGAGCTAAAATATAGCACACACATTACTGTATATTCTGCATTCAGCAGGCAAAAACATAGATCCAGGTCATTTACATAAATCTATCTCTGTCTACCATTAGCTCAGCGTAGCCATGGCTGATGTCACTGTTTTCCTTTGCTGACATGAACCACTCTGTCTGCACTGCTGCATTTAAATCAGGCCTATAAAGCTTTATGTCTGTAGTTGTTGTTTTTTTGGTATCTAGATTTAGTCATGACAAGGTTCTTGATGGATTACATTCATTTCTTCCCCCACATATCCTCCACACACACCACTCAAAAACAACCTGATATAATGACATCAAGCAGATATTTTGGAATCTGAACACCTGCTAACAATGCAGAAAGAAAGTATCCCGGCATCATTCATCACCGTGTATTTTTGCTGATTTCTCTATAAAAATATGACAACAATTGCCCCCCCCCCTCCAAAGAAGTGAATTTATTTCGCAGAAGTGTTCTGACACTTTGACAATTGAGTCTCTTGTTCTTTGACTTTAAGACAGTGTCTGAGGGCGCCTCAGTGCTGCTCTGTTTTTATCGTATAGCTACATCTCCTCTTAATCCCTCGTGGCCAGCACTATCATGGTCGCTGTGACAGTGCAGACACTTCCCCTGTTCTCTCCCCAACTGATAAGTCTCACTACCACTATCCACCACTCAGAAACAGGATTCATAATGGCAGCGTGTCCACGAACAACAAATCATAATCAATTTCAAAACACCTTTCTGCGCCTCAAAACCTCACGGGGATGAAGAATCTGTAAACATTTCTCAGGACAGTCACAGCTATGACGGTGATCGTGATTATGATTCAGTTTTTCCCCCTGACCTCGACTCTGCAATTTTTTCTCAAATTCAATGTTCTTCACCTGCTGGCATATAATCTGCCAAACCATGAAGGCTTTAAACTGCTGTTTACTACAACGTTTCAAGATATCTAGAGTGTAACCTGCTATTTAAGATGTGATAATATATAATGGTCCAGAGCAGAAACAGTGATAACTGTCCTTCAGATCCCACTCCAGCTAAAATTACTCCATCCATGAAATAGAGGTATCCATGGTTACATCAGGAGCCATGTTAAAGGGTGCCTCAGTCAGTGTATCTCTATTCTCCAGCAGTCCCCACCTTTTTTCCCTCATTCATCATTTGAAAGAAAACCACGGTGCCACCTCAAGGTTTCCGACAGCTGTAATGGTTTGGTTTTGCAAATGAGATTTGCAGGCGAATAATTTTGATAACATCGATGAAGATAGACCGGCTATTAAATATCTCTGAATTATGAATGCAAGCCATATTACATCTGCAGTTACCTGCTTGATGCTGAGGGAGTGAAACACGGAAGCCGTTGTGGTTCAGGGCTACGGGGCTGCAGGTTGAAGTATTGTATAGGAGCATCCCCCGGTGCGACATATTTGCAGTCTTCAGAACAACTTGTTACCTTGACAACGCAATTTTATCATTCAAGCCCATTGCTGCTCTCTCTCTCACAGCAGGAATCAAATGTGCCTTAAATGTATACTGCTGCAGGGTTTTACACCTCGATTCTAGGTGGAAAGGAGACATCGGATGAGTTGAGATGTGCAGAAAATGTTACATTATGATTTCACTGCCCAGAGGACAGTGTGGGAGGCTTTTGTTGCCTTTGCAATGTAAAGGGAGGTGCTTTTGGTTTCGTTTGAAAAAGCAAATTGGACAGTGTGATTAAAGCAGATACAGGTCTCAAAATGAGATAATTTAGACTGAGAATACTGTGGCTTTTCATAGATATACTAAACTACGTAGCAGCTATTTTAAGCTTTAACTGTAGGGGATCAGAGACAAAGAAGAGTTCAAAAAAATTTCTAATTGGCACCATGTAATTCCCCAAACACCAGTGACCTCCGGGTGGTTACTATACCCAACGACTTACTAATGCCTGTATTTGTGTCAGGCTGTATTTGTTAGTTAGTCATTCTGATGATCGTCGTGCAAGCTTTCCGCGAGGCAAGTCCATCTGCTGTTTGGGTCTCTTTCACTGAAGTCCACAAGCATCCAGGAACAGAATTCAGGTATCTACATCAAATTAGTAGTAAATGTTTATCTCTGAGTTCTGGAAACTCAAAGTAGTTTGAAAAAAGAGAGGAAGTACAGTAAGTATCTAAGCTGCAGTGTGAAGAAGGACAAAGGCGGGGCCATTTAAAATGATCAGCGGGCCGTAGTTTGAACACCCGAGCATTTTAGAATGTAAACTGCAGCTCGGAGTTGATTGAACATCACAGATTCCCAGAAGAAATACTGTGGGCACTCAGTATAGCTACGGCCCTGTATGTGTGTGTGTCTGATATGACCTTCGTCGACTTGTGTAACTGAGCTCAGAAGATTAGGGATGTATTCGCTGGATGATGAACAAGGTCAAACAGCGTAGGAGGAATGGCCGTGTGCTGGGTGGCTCATGGACGTCGTTGCTTAAAAGTCTCGGAGGTCTGACATGTTGCAAAACTTGTACCTACTAACTGTGCTCAGAGCTCATATCGAGATTGTCTTCAATGATATAAAATATAGTAAATGATTGAGGAGTGCTTTTCATTAGGTTGTGCAGTGCAATCCATTGTCAACTGGCTCCGTCAGTATATGAATGATCCCTGTTTGTGCTATGCATGGCTTATATTGATATATTATACCATTATTGGCTCGCATTGAATATCAGATGCTAGTCATATTATTCACATATTATGGTGCACACGCACACACACATACAGGTGTTTTCACTTATGTTACCTAATTAGACCTCTTCTCTGGATGTGTAGGTGTGTATAGACTGTGCTTGATTGACATTTCCCAACTTATGTCCTCATCAGCCTGTTTGGTCAAATATTCCATAGCTCCCCCCAAAAATTGACATTCACCTGTAAAATCCCATTGTCAATTTACTTTGCAGAGGCCAACTGTGTTCAAAACGTGATCGCGGAGGAGATACATATTTGCAGCTATCCTGTTGGAGGCTTAAAGCTATAGGGTTGGTAATGTTGAGAAACCAGCAAGAGTATGCTTGATTCAAAAAGTATCCAAACTACAATCCAAGCCCATGATGCAAACTCCTTTCCAATGAGAGTAGCTAGCAGCACTAGCTCCAAAAAGTCGGTAAATCTAGCGAGAACGTCGTCGAGTCGGCAACACTAACAGCCCGCACATTCAGGCCACCCTCTGAAGCGACTCCCCCAAAATGATCATGGTAAATTTAAAACAACCAACATGGCTGTTGTTAGTACTCACAGCTGCCAAACTAGCAGCTTGTGGAAGACTGCGGTGATGAACAATGAGTGCATGAACAGAGTGTGATCATCTACGCCGGCAGACAAGCAGGTAGACTGTCCAATCATTACATTCAGGCCAAATGAAATGAATTGGACAAGCTTATTACAGTCCTGCGACAGCTACTGATACTAGAGTTTTTGATTGCTGTTTGGATGTTAAGAGAATTCAAAAAAATATGACCCATACTAACCCTTGCATTAACTAAATAAAACAAATGCTCACATTTGTAAATGGGCTCTGACTAAAGTCACTGCCACTCTACAAAAACAGAGCAATCTTTAGCGTAACAAGGTACTAAATGAAGAGTCTGTTATCTAACACCCATACCTCGGTAAACAGATCACTGAAATAGAATAGAATATGAGAAGAATGGACATTTACATCCAAATGGACATAGCGGTCAGAGCAGCGGCCATTTTTACGTATACCGACGCGTACTGTTGCCATTGCAACAGTAACTTCCAAGTAAACCGACTTGAGGCAAGTTCTGGTGGCGTGACGTGTAAAACAACAGCATCAACGTCTAGTATGTGTGTGCGTGTATAGTCCTGCCATGCCGGTGTTATGTCAAAGTCTGTTCCTCTGTTGATTAGATTTCCCTCCTGTTAAAATAGTAATGCCCAAATGGTGGTTAGGGTTAGGGATAACGGTTGGTTCAGGTATAGGTCGGGGGAAACACATATTCAGGGGAAACAGTATTCATCACAACACCGGCTGTACCTTTTACAAAGTATGTAAGAAAGAAAGTATGAATTGGCCTTAACAGATGTCGATTCGGCTCTATTAGTATTTTGTAGTCAGGTAGAGTGCTGCAGGGAAGATGTATTTTTGTAGTCAAATCGAGAAGTTAGAAACACATTGGTTCCCTCGACAGAAAGCCAATGTGGATTTTGGATTATTGCCGTAAATAATCTCTGTGGCAAACACATAGCTTATTTTCTGGAAAATCCACTTCTATGATTTTTATAGTAAATACATCACCAGAAGTAAAAAGCTAACGTTAGGCTATAAACAAACTTTACCCACGGTCAAACAACTTCACATCACCACCACTAAGTTAAAGACGGACCAGTGTTTTAATGAGGGCGTTTAGTCGTCTCATTTAGACAAATGCCTTTTTTAAGACATGTAGACATTATTTCAGATATCTAACATTGAAAAAACCTGTTGACTTGGAGACGAGGTAACTGTGCTGACTCATTTCCTGTTTTTTAAGGACCCATTCCTTTAGCACTCTATTACCACGGCAACAGTTCAACGTCTGTTCTGCTCCTATTCTAGTTCTATGAAACAAACCCAACTATCAAATATTTTCATGTAAACCAGGTGTGAAAATGATGCTACTTTTCACTACATACGTAGCTGTTGCACCACAATCTGACTCCTCATTATATGAGCATCGTGTCCACGTAAACACACGTTCAGAACATGCTCGGATTCAGCACTCGAAAATCGATCTATTCGTAGAATGTGTTGTTTGCAATTGTGTAAACACTCGACCTTTCACTCAAGTGAGACAGTGCAGAGGGACCAGGTGGGGAAAAAAGGAACAGAAGACAAGTGATGTTAAAATGAACATTTATAATGACTCTTTGTTGCCGTCGCAAAAATAATCTTTAAAAAACAATTCAATTATTAACACTGAAATGCTGACTTCACTGGTAGTCCACGAGTCATAAAACACAACTCACTGAATTTCTTTTACAAACACAGTACTACAGTTACATTAAATAGTCATTACCGTTAAATCTATTAATGAATAATGTTCAAATAAACTAATAATAAAAACAATGACACTTTTAAAATCCGCTCATTTTCCTCACCATAGTAGCTGTTGTCTCTTTTTTTTTACCAACACTGTGTCATTTAGAAAATATACTGCTTCTGAGATGTTTCTCTGACAAAAGCAGAAAACAGACTGGCAGCATAACAATAATGGTACATGAGCTCAAACGTTGTACAATTAGGGTGATGTTTTTCAAGGGGAGTGGAAATGGGACAAAACCATTCCAGTGATCTAACATTTAGTTATGTAGGCTGGCTGCCTTTTGGCTCAGTATGGAATTATTTGGCACTCTCGCTGACAAATATTTGCCATAAAAAGCTGTCACACTTTTTTTTTCTTTTTTTTTTCTAAAATGGCACAAAAAGACGTTTTCCTCTCATCTCTGAATACTTTCATTTTAAAAGACATATAAATGCTGTCCTAGAAAGCCCTTTAGGTAGTTAACACTGTGGACTTTGACAGATTCTCCTCGTCACAAACGAAAGACAGAACTGTAGTCGCTAACATCCAAGAGAAATGTACCCAATCAACAAGAAAACATCACTTTTTCTTAGGTTGGAATATTTGATCTTATGCTGTCAGTCCATTTTTTTTCTTCTCTGAAATGGAAGGAACAGAGGTTAAACGAAGTAAAAAAACAAAACCCGGAAAAAAAAATGTACAATGATGTGGAAATGGTTGCAAGGTATTGGCATGCTCCCTTCAGTTTTCACTGAAGCAAGCGTTCAACCCCTGCAGAATTGTCCAGATAAGGAAAGAAAAGAACAGTCTCGCAGAGTTTGACAGATAAAATGGTGTCAAATATCCAACACATACATGAATGAGTTCTCGTGGATGGAGAAGGTCAACTAAGTTCATGGGAGGTTCAGAGGGTCAAAGACAAAAATGGCCTCATGTCAGGTTGGCAAAGAATCCCGCATTTTCTCAGACGAAAGGGCTCAGAAATACCTTAATCCGTTTTAAAGGGTGGACACAGCAGCAGGTGCTCGGTGTAACGGAACACAAATCGTGACGTCGTGTAGGCTGAGAGAGTGACACTCAGGGAGAAGAGGCTTTTTAAGAGAGGAGCGAGCAGTCCGAGTCAGTTTGAAGTGTTTTAAAAACCAGTCCTAGCCTTCTCGTGAAAGGGCTCCGTGGGGGCGGATGAACGTCCAGGACACATTTGGAGTGAGAATAAAAACAAACACAACAAGTTTTGGAATGATACTGGAGTTCAATTAGCATTCAGATGTGAAGCAGTAAATGCAACGACAGGGGTCTGTGACACAAAATAACAGGAGAAACATCAATTGACATTAACCAGGCCTTTACCACTCAAAGCCGAATAGGTTCCCTTTGTATCACGTCGAGGTGGCAGAGACAATCTGCATTTTGCTGGTGCCGATGGTGTCTCTCAGATCCGACTGTAACATCAGCCAGACTTTGAGCGTGCATCAGGCCTGTCTTAAAAGGTACGCTTCCATACAACAAAACTGCAGAGTGAAATACGTAGATTGTTGTGGATCACGATTGCTTTTGACGTATCACAAATAAGTTTCAAATGAGTCGGCGTAAGTCCTCAGAGGGAGGAGATGTAGGTGGTGAAAGGGACAAACAAACATTCTCCCAGAATGCTCTTTGTGTCAAATGTGAACTACATACTTTTGTTGTCAATTTCATAGTCATTTCAAGCCCAAATATAATGTTTTTACTAAATCAAATCAAGTAGTTTTTGGTTTTGTTTCAGTTTGGTAGTCATTTTAAGGCAAACCGTGATGTTTTTTACGAAACCAAATCAAGTACTTTTGTTGCCCAAACCAAACGAAGTCTGTTCGTAGCATTGTTTTTGGTATGTTTCAATTTACGACGTTTAAAAGTTTTCCAAACCATTTTAAACGGCAACCGTAATCCTGGAGAAAACGAGTTTCTCTCTCAACGTGATTGTGAGCGCAGTTTAGTTGTATGGGAACATAACTTTGTAGGAGACAGGGTTGCCCTCAGTGCCTTCAGCCCAATCTCAATTTGCTGGAGAAATGAAAACCATCTTTCTAAATTTGTAATTTAAAGCAAAAGAGGACACAAAAGGGCCAAAAGTGTACAGATCCCCCTCCTGGTTTCACACGTTGGTTAAAAACAAAGCACTCAGTGATTGACACAAACCTCTGCTGAAGGGAATGTGAAGGAGATGCCTTCGAGTGAGAAAACAGGTGCTACTTTTCTATATTGTCTGAGACTCCAGCCCTTTCCATCATTCATGAGACCATATACAGTATAAGGGACTTAATAAATAAAAGTAACATCAGAGCGAAAAAGAATGACAATAAAGAAGAAAAATCTGTTGAAAGCCTACATGGTTTGCTTCATTTCACACCCAATATGACCCCACTGATCAGTAAAGTGCATTTATGCAACACCAAACAAACAAGATAATGTTGACAGCGAATCGGAAGTTGTGTTAAAAACATATCTGGATCATGACTGTGGCCGCGTGAGGCCTACCTGACTATAGCTGAAATCTGTTATTGACATAGATATTAACTCTACATGTATTTGACATTCCTGCCCTGAATTTACATGAAAGACTGATATAACATTCGACAGGAAAAAAAAGAGTAAATGGGTACATTCATAGATTAGATCTGGGCTTTCAAGCTGTGACAAGAATCCAAAAAACATTATGGGACAGGTTCAATGAGGTTCAACCTGTTTGTAAAAAGAAATGCATGCCCGATATCCTAAAAAGACAACACAAGGAGCCAATGCACTGAATAACATTTTCACGTTTGCTTGTTTCACATTTTTAATACTCCTCACTGTACCTGAAAATCAAAAATATCTTCTCTGATGATGTGCTGAGACATGAACTGGATTGATTAGAATTTGATCTGAGATGTGTGTGTCTTTTTTTTCCGGCCAACATGACGATAATGAGCTCCCTCCCAACTCACAACATAAAAAACAACTCTTTCTTTTTTTTTTTTAACATGAGGCGAGTAAACTTAAGTGCTTTACATTTGACCGCATGCAGCGTTATGTCTTTGAACGTTTTGCGAGAGACACCTCGCAGATTTTTGTAGCTTTTTTTTTTTTTCCTCATAATTTACTTTGATACCATGCAATAGAAGACGTGCAAAAAGATAACACCTAACTCCACAAACACATTTTTGATTGTTAATGGTATGTTATGAATGCTTATAACATGTTATGCTTTAGTCCATGCTGGCCTATAGAGACATTTTGTGAGACAGCAGTACTTAAGCCACAGGTCAAACAAACACACAAGGGATGCATGGAGTGTAAAACAACATGGATCCATAAAAATCACAATCTTTAACTCTTACTCTATGTACCTATGGGATAAAACAATGCACAAAAAAGTTCTTTGTCCTTTGTTTTTCTTAAGTCATGTATTTGATTATCTTTTTCTTAACTTAAAAGACGGTGTTTGATTGGCACTTGATCAGCACTTCTAAACAAGTTATTGATATCTAACATTTGATCGCACATCTACAATTTTCAGAAGCTGCGGAGGTCTAGTTTGGCACAGGTTGTACTATGGAGTCTATTATTACTTTTACTATCTTACCAATACTGTATAGCATTCTATACACCTCGTTTTATGCTCCAGCCTTTTAGAGCATGTTTCTAATCAACAGACCAGACATCTTTTCAACTAAAATATTTTTGTATAGTTTACTTATCAAATAGCAGCATTTTCATAACTTACAAAAAGTACATGTAAACCTATTCATTCAAAATCTTAGTAATTTCAAAGGTTCATACAACAGACATAGAACACAAAACAGGACAACATGCTACTATATTGCTTCCAATATTCTTTACATTTTCTTACTGTCAAACTAAATCATCAATGACAGAAATATGGACACCACCGGTTGATGATGAGTCATCATAATGCACAAACAAATCGCAAAGCTAATCTTAATCAGGCTTAGTTGGCACTCTCATCATCCACACAAATATAACATAGTTCACATTGTATCGACAACGCTGGACTGCATTTGGACTACAAACTAGAATAGCTACAATAAAGTACATATAGATCATATGACATGACATATTGTATTTCCACAGAAATGAATTCTAGTCATTTTTCAGATAAGAGGATATGCATAAAGGATGTCATTGTTTTCGGCTTGAGGTCACAAACACGTTTCCCGCCTTGCTCGCGCCATCTTATGCGTTCCGTTCCTTACTGCGCTTTGTTTAGAGAGGCTGGAAACTGGAGGTCAGTTTGTTCAGCCGACGTGTGAATATCTAATCGAGCAAGATTTGCCTTCTTGTGGAAGAGAAAAAACAACAACACTTTCTCTTCCCTTAAAAGGCCATAGTTCACGATCTAAACGCTTGTTCTTCTTCTATCGAGGGAATTTGATACTTTGAGCTAACGTTTGCTGGTTGGTCTTGTGGGCGTCACAGTTTCGGAGGCAGGTGTTTTCTGTGCATTTTTAGCCTTGTGAACTCTACGGCTTGGGGAAATATTTTCATACCCTTATGACCTATAGTGCATAACTCCCACCGCCAGCGTGCCACCCATGAGAAGACAAGACGTTGGGGGGGGGGAGGAACAGGGGGAGAGCACAGTGTAGGAAGAAGCACAGACAGATCGGGACGTGGGAGGAGTCTTGGATCGGCGAGAAACAGCAACATGCAGGGGGGAATAAGAATGTCGAGAGAGAGAGGAACGTCAATGTGAGGGCGAAGAGAAATAGCATTTGGCACAATGTCATGATCAGAGAGTCCCCCTTGCAGTCAAGCAGTCCAGTTGCATTGATAAAACATCCCCTTGTTTTGTGCTTGTATCTTATTATATGCTAAATATCCTGGGCAGTAAAAAGTTATCCGTACGCTATGATTTCACTAGTGGCCAGATTGTAGTTATGTATGAGCATGAAAGTCTTCCAGGACGCGTGGTGAAAGGAGAGGTTTCAGTGTAGTAGGTAAAGGCTGACTGTTGCAATGTTTGCACACAAAGGTTCAATTTACCTTCAAACGTGAATGATGAAAATGAAAAAGGCTACGAGTTAAATTTCCCCCCTAAAAAAACAACACAAACAAGAGAGCTTCTGAATTTCTTGGGACACTACTCAGCACTAACCCTCACAACCGTGAATTCAGGAAGCTGGTCATAGAGCTTGGGTTGATGGGGACAATTGAAAGATGTCTTTAGAGCCGGGACGTAACAGGAAAGTGCGGTGGGAATAATTTGTGATTCGCTGATCGGGGAAAAAAACACAACGGCCCGCTAATTGAAGCGCAGTGCATTGGTACTGGTAAACAGAAACATCACAAGACGCTGGAGTATAAATGCTCTTGTAGATAATATAATATATCCCGTCTGTGGGTATTGGTGGGGTCTGGTTTACGTGACATAGATGTGCACATTGAAATATACTCATGTCCCAGTGGGGGACAGACACGCTTTACATTGTGTTCTTAATGTCTCACAGTGCAGTCTTCAGAGACCCAGTGTACTCAGGATGAACACCATGAATAGCAGCACAGAAGGAAGCCAAGGTAATCTTCGAGTGCTCGGGGAAATGCTCTGGAGAATTAGCCTCCCTGCATTAGACCGACAGTTGCCCATAAAAAGACAACGATGCCCAAACACTGTGCGACGTTCGAATACGCCTGCAGTTAGTGAGCGCTAACGTGTTTTTGGGGACAATAACAGGCTGCCTGGATGAACTGAAGCTTTTTTTTTGTTTTCTCTTGATGCAAATTGGGATGGATGGCTCCCAGAAAAAAAAGTGAGGCCAAACCCTTCTTTTCAAGTGTCATTCTACTTTCCTTTCATTAGTGTGTGTGTGTGTGTGTGTGTGTGTGTGTGTGTGTGTGTGTCATGACTATTTGGTACCCTTAATGTAAAGGCATTCGTTTCTTTGTTCACAGATATTGGTTCATACAGCTTTTCTTATCAAAACGCGTTTGTAGTGCCGACTGAACCTGTGAGACACTGCTTCAAGGTAGTCTGAGCTTTAAGTTAATTCTTGGGAAATGTGTGACTAAGGCAAACGTATTGTCAGGGAAAATGTAGAGTATGGCCAATTTTTTAGAAGATTAAGAAAATAAAAAACCTGCATTGGGAGCAAGGATAGACTTGAGATATTAAGACTGGATTGCTTTTCGTTGTGACAGGCTGAAATCAATCCTTTTTTATTAGGTGAGAGGCTGGGTGAGATCCAATGGGCTGCTAACAGCTGGACGACACATCAGTTTTTTTTAGTTTAATAGCCGCCAGAGGGGTTCTGATTTCATGGTATAAGGAGATATAAACCTATCCTATAGCACCAAGAAAGGGTTAAACGACATATTTCCATGTTTGTAGCTGTGACTGAATATGCAAATGTGCTTCCGTGTTTTGTGGGAGCATCATCGAGGATGTGTTTTGTGTAAAATATATATTCATACATTCCTGTGTGTCTCCTCTATCATCTCACATTGATTATTCAACCCCTGAACTATACTCAGCAGCAGTGAAGTCCAGGCTGGGTTTTTTTTTTTTTTTTAAGTTATACATTTCTTTCACTGCAACACAATATTTGATCCCTGTAAATAAAAAATAGCGATAGGCTAATATTGTTTTTACATTCAGATCAACCTGCATTCACAGGTTTAAATTATCTATTTGTGTTTGAATGAGACAATGTCAATAAATAAAGGATGGAAATATAAAATACCCAAATTTAGAAACTTCAATTATGATATGAGCCAGAATTCGACAGACGTCAACATAGATATGACTTCTTTAAAGAAATTATGCGCAGATTGCTTCCCCGTAGACGGAGATTACCTCAGGTGCTTGTCATAAAACCTCACCCCTGTTCACAACGCCTTCTGCATTGTACACAAAGAGCAAGGTTTGTAAAACAGCTCTTTCAGCTGGCTGGAGCTTCATCCAACTCACTCAACTCACCGGGAGCTGAGGTTCGCAACTGAAATTAAAACCAGCAAAAACCCAAACAAAACAACAAAATAAAACAGCTATGAGGTTTTGGAGGAGGGTGAAACCCTGCGGCCTCACCCTTGAATCTGCAGCTTGGCAGTGGACCAGTTCAGCTTACTCTGATCACCATCGTCAAAAGGACTCGACACAAACTTTTAAAAAACATCAGGACGTCAGTCCTAAAAACACATTCACATATCACACACACTTATCTTGGTTGTCTCCCCCACCTCCTCCTTTTGTGATTCTTTCATTTGATACGGAAATATTGAACAGATATTTGGACGTTTCTTTTTTCTATTCATCGTGACCCTCTCAATTCCCTTCTATCTCTGTCTTCATCCTTTCCTTCTTTCCTCTTCTTTTTCCTTTTAGCCCACCTTTTGTGGGTTGGTAGCGCGCACGCCTTGCTCGTAAGTGATCCGTTGGCTGATCAGATACTGTGCTGCTTGCGTAGCGGCTGGCGACCCTGTTATGGTAACTTTACGGTTCCGAGTACCAGGAATGAACTCTCCCTTTTTGGAGATCTGGATGCGGGCTCCCGTTAGCTCCTGGTACTCCACCAGCGTTTTCCCTCCTTTCCCCAAAATGGCACCAACCAGATTCTCGGGCACAGCGATCTCAACCACGTCCTTGGCCCCGTCCCCCAACTTCTCTGTTGCCAATAGGGAGGAGGCCATCAGTGGGGATGAAGCATTTAGGTAACCATTGGAAGCCCCTGTAGCAGCTGCTAGAGAACCCAGCGAGAACCCCCCGAGGCTCGCAGCATGGTGGCCAGCACCTCCGGAGACATCGCTAGCGTAGGAGGCCAGTAGGTTGGCTGCGGCGGCAGCAGCCGGGTTGGCACTAGCTGCTACTGCAGCGAGGACCCCAGAGGCAGCTGCAGGGTTGAGGCCCAGACCTAGGGTGTTAGTGTTGTAGCCGTAGCTGGCCAGCGTGTTGAGGGCCGAGGTGATGGCCAGCAGATCGTTGCCAGAGAAGCTGGACATGGTGGCGGGGAAGGCGCCCATTCCTGTCAAGCCGGCCTGGCCCAGAAGGCTGGAGGCGGTGGCGGCTGCTGCGGCTGCATTGGGCAGCACCTCGGCCGTATTGGCGTATGGGGAGCCGGTGGGGTTGGAGTTGGCCACTGGGCCCGAGACGTTGGAATAGCTGATGTTGAGGCAGCTGCTGCTCTGAGGGTCTTCCTGGATCTTCTGCACTATAATCTCCACGGCCTTGCGGTTCTGTTCAGGCTCCCCACTGATGGTCACCACCCGCTCCTGCAGGTTGATGCCCTCTGGCTTCTGGGAGAGCTGCACCCAGGCCCCTGACTGCTCCATCACCGCTTTGACCGTGGCTCCGCCCTTGCCAATGATCAGCCCAGCTGTGCTATTGGGCACGATCAATTTGGCCTGTAGAGAAATAGAAAGATTGAAGTAGCGATAAAAAGGTAACAGGGGAAAGGTTTAACAGCATACATGGTTGTCGGAAAGAGGGATGTCTCTCACTGAGTCAGAGTACTGTACCAGCCCCTGCTTTACTCAGCGATTTGTTAATCCCAGGGGTTTAGGCTGCAGCTGCCACACGGCTCTGTCTTGCTATGAAAGACTGTAGGTAAAAATAACCACATACTCTCACATTTTCCTGACCCCACCAGACTGCAGGTCATGGCCCCGAGAGCAAGTAAGGCCGATGACTAATAAACAGGGTGTCCTGGAAGTGACCTGTCCCCACCACACAGTTTCCACACATCCTCACTGCCTGTACAGTATCTCACCTGTTTGACACGGTCTGGGTTGACGGTGGTCTGCGGCTGCAGTATGCTGACCGGCTCGGGTTTCTGGGCACTCTGGGGCATCTCGCGGACTTTCTCCGCGATGAAGTTGTGGACACCATTGAGGGCCTCGACTGTACCCTGTATCAGACAGACGCGTTCTGTTGTTCCTGAGATGACAAAAGGAGGGAGAGGACAAACACAAGCGATGAGTTACTGTAATGTGCTCCGAGTGTGTACTTGGCGAGCAGATTTAAGGGATTTGCAAGGGGTTGGACGGAAATCTACATTTATATGAAGAAGTGATGGCAGTGACAAATGCTCCTTGACATTTCACAAAGAGACGCAATTACTAAGCTATTCCTCGCTTACTTCATTTACACAATCAACAGAGAAACCGCTTAAAGAAAGAACACTGCTTGGTTAGCGAGCCACAAGGGGTAGGGGGGGGGGGGGGGGGGATTCCTCTTCAATGATGTAACTCTTTCAGGGCTGTATTACTGAGCCCGTCCTTTCCTTGAAGCTCTAATAGACTAAACACATGCTTGTTCCTCCTCTAGGCTTCTTTCTACACCCACATTGACGACCCAACCGGCATTCCGTTGCCATGGTAAAGGGGCCGAGCCGTGGAAACAGGTGATGCAACAGCGAGTCCTTTATGCTTGCTTGCAGGATTTTTTTAAAACACTCTCCCTTTTGTATCAACCTTCCTGCCTCTTTAGTGTTTCACTGTTCTCCGGTTGAAGTCAATAGGAAATGTCTCCCGGCGTAAAATGTCAATTAGGCATATATTTTAGTGAGAAAATGTCTCCAATAATTGAGTCAAATTTGCAAATGGGAAGAGCAGCTGATAAGGCCGTCAGAGAGGCGCTGCTGTACTTCATCGTTGGCGTTTCCATTTCTAATTCAACTGAATCTAAAATTATAAGATTGGGTGACACACACAGATCGTCATCGGCCCTCCTAGCCATTTATCAGAACTCAGGAAATGCTCAAAATTAATCTAGGGAAATTAGTCAAAGTCCAACCTGATTGGTTATATGCCATATACATTTCTAATAATGGATGTAAAAAGTCATATAGGGTCAGTTCAAGCAGATCAGGAAAAGTAATAGGAATCTCGAATTAGGCACCTGACCTGCAATTAACTATACTGCCATAGTTTATTGGTTACGTTCTCGAGAACAGACATAAAGGACTGCACAATGCACGAAGAACATTGAAATAAAACTGTTGGAGATAGTGTCCTGCACATTTTACACTCTTATTTTTATTAAGGGTGACCAAATTAAACCAAAATATAAATCCTGCTGAAAGACAAACAAGTTATTGACAGACTGAACCTTGACCTGTTTTTTTGTGTCAGCACATGTATTCATCATACAAGATCATGTATGATCATGTTCAACATCCACTGTCAGTTGTTTGACAATGAAAAAGACAAGATAAACAGTGTTATTCCATATTGTTTCTATTTTTGGTGAATATGCCGCAGGTAATGGTATATGGACATTATTTATGGTCTATGAAATGCTCTTGTGTATGCAGCCAGGATACAAAATATAAAATATGAGGAGGTTGGAAGTAATACGTATGCAAAACTACGCTGGAGGTGAACATAAAAAGTGGGGCTTTCAGACGATGATTTTCTTCCTTAGACTTATCCTTAGGAGACAAATTGCTTTGAGCAATCATTGTTTTTTCTTAATTTTTCCAACATTCGTTGCTAGGTGAGGAGGTCCCTCTACTTTGCTTGGTACGGCAACCTCTAGTTAAACATTTCTATAGAAAGGATTGACAGCGCTGATCCCAGGTCAGTTTATCCTAAGGCAGAGACCATGATATATGAATACAACTCTTGACACACCATGAAGACTAAATCTGAATGTTACATATCTGTTCTCAGCGCTTTTCACTTCCTAAATTGCTTGCATCCTATTTTGCCTGAAGGGCTGTGGATTTCATAATAAAAGCTGGGAGTTGGCTCGTCCTCTTGTTTTGCAGGAGTGGAGTGAAAAAGGTGTTAGTGCCCCCGAGAGCCTTCAGCTTTTCCCCCGAGAAACCAATGACTCTATCTCGATCCCCAAGTAAGAAAGTTTCAATAGTTCTGTCTTGTCACTTGAGCTTTCCTGTGATGAGAACCTGCCTCTGCCTCAGCCCATTTAAATCTTTCGTCGGATTTATTCAGACTGTTAGTGTGCCACACATAAAGTATCACCCGTAATTACTGTCATCACATCAGCAGATTTTTCAAAGTAATTATTCACACTACAAATTGAGCTGGAATGTTTTTGCTGGATATCCGAGTGCTGTATCTATCCATCATGTTACGCTGTTGCCATATGGCATGCTTTTCTCAAACGTAAACACTGATTTGAATGTGGGGAACCTTTGTAGCATGCTATTTATATCCACTAAATCAGAAACAAACTCGGAAACCGTCTGACAAGAAGTTCCCAACAATCACTGTTGCCGTATTTGAAAAAGACTAGTAAACACACCATGCTTATCAAAGACTTTTTACTGGGCAGAGAAACTATCATGTACCTGGTACCTGGACAGTCAAGCAATGCTTTTTACCAATAAATTACAAATGTAGGGATAAACAGGATACCTGCATGCAGAAATCTGCAGTAGGATCAGATGTGTGTGTCATATTAAAATACACCAGGGATTTTACTTTTAGAGGAAATACTGACACAAAGTGCAGTCTTGCAGGATACGACTTAAAGGTATGCTTTGCTCAAAAACTGCAATTGTTTGAAGGTACAAATAATCTTTGGTCAAACGGTCATTTAATGGGTAAGACTGGCAATATCCTATATTTTTGTTATATGTCAACAAATCTCATGAAAAGACCAATATCAACAACGCATTAGTCTGTTGCTCACTACTTTCCCCAGCCTGCCAGTGGCTCTCAGCTCCAAGCCCATTGGCTTCTACTACATCTATAAAAACTGGTCTAATACCCTAATACATAGTATCTTTTTTTTTTTCGAAAGCTCAGTAATTTCCTTTAACAGCTAGGCACTGTCATTTTTAGCAGCGACAAGTTGAACAACAGGAAATGTGCATTTGTTGGGGACTATTTTCAGCGGTGGATTAATACACATTTGGTGCTCTAGTGAGTATCTGGGGCAGCAGGTCGGTGTTTGCGGGATAACCTGCGGTGTGTTTGTTCATGGTAATGAAAGAACATGTCACCCAGTGCAACAGTGTGACTCATTGGTGCTTTGATACACACACACAATACTTGTTAGTAGAATACACTCACAGTTGGTTTGGGTCTATAAACAGGATTTGTCAACAACAACAAATTGTTGACGTCACTGTGCAATCCTTTCAGCATGTCTAACTCCATGCTAATTCTAACTAACAAATGAAATCATTCGTGAATTAAAATTGCTAGATTGTAGTGTGGACTCCATGTACCGTGATGTACAACGTAAAAGGAGGAGCTACACAAAGCTAATAAAATTAATACAAATTGTGGAGGGTGGTGTGATGGCTACTGGGCCATTTTTTTGAAACAAATAAAAAAAGAAACAATAAATAAAAAACGTTTTTACTCGCAAACGGTGAACTTTACAAATTTGACATTGACTAAAGTTTTCCAAAGATTTACCACAAACTCAAGTTTACCATGTTTACTGAGGTAATAAATCAAGTGAGAAGTAGGGTCATTTTCTTATAGACTTCTATACAATCAGAGGAGTCGCCCCATGCTGACTTACAAACATTTGAGATATTAATGAGTATAAATTCATACCCGAACAGTGTTATAGAGTACTTTCATATGTAACCTGTCAAGCCTCCAGCTCATCATCATGCTTGAACCAGCCAGTTACAGTGAAGTGCAACCAAGCTTGGTTACACTGGATTTTGGTGAAAAAGAAAAGAAATGCCAGCGTACAGAAATGTAATCATTTTTAAAAGTTGAAGACTGCATGTTATATTTCAACCCTCTAACGACGTCTAGGTTAGGTTTAGGTCTAGGTAGGATGTTGTTTCAACATTTTGTTCATAGTTGGAATGTTTGCTGGGTGTCTTTCAGTGGAGCTCTCTTGACTGCTAAATGCCCACATTTTAAAACATGCAAACAGTTAAACATGTATGACCCAAAGCAGAGATAACCCTGATTGCATCATCATCTATATTCACAGGCTGAGCACTACTCCTTGTGACGAGTAAACTAACCTCCTTGTGTAAGATCAGGTATTGTGCTTGCAGAGAAGATTAGCAGGATAAAGCAGAACAGTGCTTCAGAATACTACAGCCTAACAACTGTTCCTGGTGGAAGTTGACCACCAGGAAGAAATGTTGTGCACCAAAGGCCAGACATGAATCTGCAGAGAGAGAAAGACTGCAGTTCCCATTAGTTTGAAATCCCCGCCCATGATGTCATCCCAGACAGATGTGATACTGTCCTATAGGGAGCGTTAGAGAAAACGTGGAGAAACAGCTGAAAAACTGCAAACTGTGCCTTTGCTGTAGTTTCTCTGTCTGCTACTTTTGGAAGGAAATGGAACAGTGGTGTTTGCCAGTATGAGGTCACATATTGTCACATATTATGTGATCATTTTAATGATCACATAATGGAAAACATACACCCAGTGTTTCTATGACATCACAACACCCTGATCTGTTTGTGCTGCACAACGTTACTCAATACACGTACTTGGCCGGAGGCCAGCTGAACCAAGCGAAGGGCTTGAAGTTTAGTTTCAAAGTTTGTGTGCGAATCGTGAACTCCCACAGCTCTCTCTGCAGCTGCTTAAATATGCGGATGTGTGTAAGTAGGCGTGAGTAGGTGTGTGTGTGCTGAATGCGCGGTACAAGTGGATGAACGCATAGCGAGCTGCGTTTATGGGGGCTTGAGTAAATCCAGCCGTGCAACAGTTGAGATGGGTTCAAACCAAATAGTGAAAACAAAAACAGTATCTGCCCATGCGTCACGAGGCGAGCATGCAAACTGAATTTTAAGAGGAGTATAATGTCATCTTATCTGGCCTGAACTCGCCCAACTACCAGTAACCAAATGTGAGAGGAACAGTGAGCAGGGAGGAGGAAAGAGGAAACTTGGCGTGCGTCGGAGCAGCTTGACTACAGCTGGGAGAAGGGGTCATGTCCACAGAGAGAGATTGAAACGGGCTATTTCTGGGACTGCTCCCCCTTGTCACACAATCATGGCTCAACCACACAACCCTTCACCGTCCCCGCTCGTCCATCTCAGCCCGCCACAGTTGCACAGTCCCCATCAAGAACCTTTGTGTTCACGGTCTCATCACGGTTTACGCTAACGGATGGAAGACGCGAGTTTGGTGGAAGTCTCAGACCGAGCCATCACAGAGGATTGCAGAGGAAAATGGCTGCATCGGTTGTTGTCCCTTGATTTCTCTAGTGTGCGATTGTGCTGTGGTTGGAGTGTGCTCAGACTGCCGCAGGATGAGAGTGGAGGGCGTGAACTGTGTGTAATGGCATTAGCATGCTGTAGTAGCCCACATTGCAGCTGATTCAACAATGAACGGTAGATACAACGGATGTAGCTGAGAACTTTGACATGCTGAATTGCTTGCCTCTAAAATTCTATATATCTTACAGTTTCAAACTTTACCAAGTTGCCCGTACTTAAAACAGCCAGTGTTGTTGTTGTTTTTTAAAGCTTTAGCTTCTACTGACTTCCCAGCTATTTTGCAGTGTACAGTAGCACTCCTTTCATTTTACTTGTGTGGGCCCGAGCAACCGCCCAATCAAATCGTTGCCAGCACCCTCTCCCTGAACTCCTCTTCTCACTCATCACGATAATGAGTAGGGGGATGGGCAGAGCAGGTGGTGGCCTACGAACACCTCCACAATCCAAAAGAGAGAAATAAGGATACATATCGCTCCTTTTCATTTGTTGTCATGCCAATGGAGTAGCCATGCTTCCTTTCCTCAAACATAGTTGGCCTCGTATGTGGAGAATTTCAGGGCCATGTCCTCTGTGCCTTTCATCGTGGCTAGCAAAAACATGGTTTGAAGAGAGAAGTACAGGAGAAATATTTGCTCGCACATCCTTCTTTTCCTCTCCCCCAGCGCTCCGTCGGCTACTTCTTTGCCACGATTCTGTCAGTCCAATATATCACACGTAACTCCCTACAGAACACGTCAAATTCAAACCATGTTGTGCATTTTTTCCTGTAAGTAGCGTGATATTTTGCGCTCTAAATGATCCAAAGACTCAAAAATTGCAGAGGTCACAGGACAGATTCAATATTTAAGGTAGCCATAATGATGGAAAATTCAGTTCAACCTTTCTGTTTTAAATGTATAATGGTTAAGGCAAGAGGACTGACTGTAGACCCTATAGTAGAAAATGTATAATATAATTTATAAATATTATATTAGTATTTCTCTTGTACATATGTTGTGCTACTTATATTTCATAGGTCATGTGCAATGCTCACTATTTCCTATCCAAGGTGATTATATATAAGGTCTATACTACAGTAAAAACTACAACACTACACAGGGATTATTTGCTTGCATCAGTCACAGAAAACATCTGGACCTAATATGCAGCGAGACGCTCAGCACCTGTTACTTTTCAGCAGGTCGGAGCCTCCTCTAAGGCATGAAGGACAAACGGCCAGACTCCCGTACGGCTCAGGCGTTTGTGTTCGGAGGATAAGATGGGTCGGCTTCGCCCTTCCCCTGTTGCCATTTTTGAGCGAGACTCTCCTCGGCACAATTCTTGCCTTCGATGCATGCCGTGTCCTCTGCGTCACAGAGTTTGTTCTCATTTTCTGGGGGGGAATGAATGGCACCCCTGTGCAATTTTCCCAGAAAAGAGAGTGAATGCATCAACATGAAACCGTGAATACTATAAACAAAACCTGCAATGAAGGGCGCAATCCAGTGTGTGACACTTGAGACTCCCTGAAAGCCTCAACAGCTACATTTTGGCTGGTCTCTGGAAAAATGTCACAAAAACTATGTCCAGCAGTATTCACAAATATGAACAGAGTAAAATAATGTTGTGATGCACTCTGTTATAATGCCATTGAACACCCGGTTGTTTCTGGTAAGGCCTTTTTTTTCTGCTTCGACATCAGACCTCTGTGGTCCATTTTTTTTAAGGTAAGGAATATTTTTGCCATGACCTGCTGTGCTTAAAGGGAAAAGTAGGACTGCCCCTCTTAGTTGACTAATCGACCGTTTTAGTCTCAGTTGACTGAGATTTCATTAGTCGACGAGTCGTTTCTTATGCTTTTTTCATGCTGAATGACTTATTTCCAAGAAACTTACGAGAACATCTCTGGCAAACACAAGATTTAAAGTGGCTCCTATTGTTAAAGATATTAGCCTTGGCGATGTGTGTGCAAAGCGTGTATATAGTCTAGTTGATTGTCTTGGTTTGAGTCCATGAAATCTTTGAGGCCTTCATTGCGTATCGAGTCTGTGCAGACATCTGCATTACACCGAGGCACCAGGTAGGGAGGACCGCCCGATTACCACCGGGTATGCTAGCCAAGCAACTTCAAAATGGCCTTCACACCTAAATGCTGTGTCTGACAGCTCTAACATGTTTGGTCCCCCAAGGACATAAGGACATAAGGATACTCAAGTTCAAATTGTTTACGAACGGTCTATGATTAAAATGGATTGCAATTACTTGCTAAATGAAGAGGACATATCAAATGCTCTCTTGCACCAAAGCGTCACTCCTTCAGCTGGGTAATGAGTCAGACCGCTCCTCTCATAAATATATACATATATAAATATATGCTCATCGATTTTGAATACTGAGGGATTCATTCTTACCTGGGTAGAAGTCTTTGGATTTGGACAGCTTAATGGTGGCACCCGTCTCTTTCTGCAGTTGTACGATGGTCTGGCCGCCCTTGCCAATTATAGAGCCGGCTGCATAGCTGGGGATCAGCACCTTCAGGAAGTACTCGCCCTCCTCTGTGGCGGGGGGGGGGGGGGAACGACACACATAAAGTGGGAAAGAGTCACATCTCGTAAAGCAGCTCTGCACATCATCATATAAACATAGTGGTGCCCAGCCCCCCTCCCCCCCAATACCCTGGACAAGCAAAAATATTTCACAATAGGAACACGTAGCTTTGACTTATATGGGGAAAGACAATTATATATCTTGTGTCTGTGTTCCTCTGGTATAGGGAAGGTATCTGGAAGAAGCCCTTTGAGCAGCTTTCAGTGCGTTCACATTTTATCAGAGACGGTGACATGTTCTGTGTCCTGTCCCAGATTTCCTCGTAGAGTAAATGATGACCTCCTTTCCAGTTTGCAGAGGTCTAATTTTAACTGTTTTCAAGGAGTTTTAGAAAACCTCTGACTGAATACAAAACCAGGGTCCAGTGTTACGGATCGTTCTCCACGCGTGACCAGAAGGAGTGTAGAATTAACAGTCCAATCTGTCTGCAAAAGGTAGCCAGTATTCTGAGACAGAATATACAGGTACACACAGAGGACTACATGCAAACACATGAAGTCATTACAAATGCTGCGAATGGATGCCAATCCAGAGTGATCCCTCGTAATTAACAGACGTGAGAAGAACATATGGGAACCAATCCCACAGATTTGTTCATAGGGTATACTGCCAGGATGGTCTAAATCTCCTCCATTTTGGAAGGGGCTTCTGTGACTTACAGTGGTTTGTAGCAGTCGGTGACTGACAGCCCGTCAGTGTGCAGAATTTGGAGGCAAACATGGTTCTCCCACTCAGTTTGGGAAACTTCCTCTCTCCTACGATGCTAATAGCACCAAAGTGGGCAAAGCATCCCTTCCAAGAAAACCCTGATCACGTTGAGTGCGCTAATCTAGAAAAAAGCAATCAGCCACATATTGAGTTTGGACCCCAATATGATTAAAGAACCTGCTAACAATACATCAGAACCGTTTTATTTATAGATGTGTGGAGCGGACGTGATTCCCCACTGAATTCTGAATATCACATTGATGACATCATGGTAAACACTTGGCACAGGTGCATTATCAGCACTGGTTACAAATGATCTCCTCTGCATGCTGATTCCGATGCAATGACGTCATGTTCGATCCTTTTTGCAGTTGCCTCAAGGGTGACGTCACTCGAACGGGCAGAGATGTGAAAAAGGCACTGTCCATCTTTGCAGGATGAGATTTCGAACACGCTTTCGAGTGTAGCGTGATACGGATTTTTTGATCCGAAGCCACACGGTTCGTCACCGTTTCACTGCATCTTGTGTTTTCGTGGAGGGTATGGAATGGGGAGGGGGGCTTGACCGGCATGGTGGGGAGGAGGTGGACCGCCTTGCACTAAGACCAACCTGTTGCCTCAGTAATGCACTCATTAGATTCAGATGTGAATGAACATGGCACTGTGACATTAAGGCATTTCACAGCCCACAAGGAGCTCTTCTCCTTATTGCATTAACATGCCCTTCATGTTGCATTCAGACACAGGCTTGTTTTTGTGCACATAATCAATGGCTCTGACAAGTATGCAGACAGTGAAATGATTGTTAATGGAATTTCACTTTTGATTTAGATTAATTAGCCACAGTTGTGGAGACAACCTCAGAACAAATCCTAAATGTACCTAAAAGCACAGACATCACCACCATCGGAAGCTAGTAAATATATCAGGTGCTGGTCAGTATGTCATTTTTCTGAGAACATCCTCAAAAAAGAAATGAAGATAAGCCTGTACATAGACATCACGTAAGCAGCTTTGTTCATCTCTGGCCATCTGATCTTTGAGATGGCCAGAGATCTGACATTTCCTGCTATGTTGCAGTCAGCTCTTCGCTTTTCTCACAACGAATAACAATAAAATGACCTTGGTGAGAAAATAAAGATCATGCATGTCTGACACGGTCTCCGTAAAGCTTCTGAGCCCTCGATCCTATCCCGAGATATCTGATACTGTAGCCGCACAAAGAATATAATTTGAGTGGCGCTGATTGCAGGATGCAAACAACCAAAGACCTGTTGTTGACAGACAAGGCAATACCCACTGCGTAACTTTCTACTCATCTTCAACCAGAGTAAACCCAGCAGGGGAGGAAGCCACTGAGATTCCCTCTGTCGCCCTCGCAGCCACATTTGCTGTCATTAGTCAATAATTAATTCTGTCCTAGTGACTGAGATCACAGTAACAGGTTTTAATGGCGTCATGTGGTAGAGTAAACATGGCAATCTGTTGCTGCAATCCGCCAGGGAACGGGAGCAGTGGGGCACATTTGGGAAGCCGAGCCAGTGGGGTGTTAGTTCAAACCCCTGCTTCCAATACTGGAAGGATGGCTTGGAGGAGAGACGCGGACGCTGAGCCAAATGTGTTTAGTTAAGTCACTCAAGGGGGGTGGGTCAGGAGGAAATGCCTTGTGACCGTCCTCCCTCCTTCCCACTACCCCTCCAAGTACCCATTCTGCATTTCAATGGAATAACCTGCTGCTGACAGGCAGCAAGGGCGACGGAACAAAAAAAAAAACGAGCAATAATGGACAAATGAGCCCTTGGTGAATGAAATTGCACGCAGTCGAGCACGACGGACAAATTCAACAAGTCAGACAAAACGAGTTTGCGGCTTACCCATTCTGAGATCTGCTGCTTCTCAAGTCCTCTGTCAGATCGCCATCAATGCCGGGGCACAATCTCTGAAGAGGATCTGAACGTTAGCCTAGGCATAGGTGCAATGGTAGTGTTGAGGAATGCGGCCAGTCGACTTTTCCGCCGCCGTTCTAATTTATCGGTGGGCGCAGAAAAAGAGATTTCACCGCAGCATCCAAGCCATGCCTGCAGCTGGCCAGAGCCTCAATTGTCTGAGAAAATGCTAATGCAGGCTCTCAGTGTTTTCAGTGAAAGACGGCACGCATTGTTCAAGCCTGCATCGGTTTGAAGGGGGGGGGGGTCTTCCCTGCCGCATCACCCTTTTCACTGCTCTCATCCATATTCATCGAGTGGCCTGTCCGTCTGCAGCAGCGCGCAGGACTGACAACGTTCTCGGCCAATGGGTGGCCTCCTCCCTCCAGCACGTCACGTCCCCACCCCCCCCGATGCCGGTCCCCAAAAAATTGAATTTTCTTCTCCACTCCGCCTCTTTTGACGCAGCACTATAAAGTATGGCAGTCCATTCACTCACTTTTTTTAGTGGCAAGTTACAAAGGTGAAGTGGCTGGGGGAGCGGGCTTCAGCGGCAAGCGGGCAGGCATGTGGAGTGACCTTCAACAGTGGCTGAAGAGGTGTACGGCTAGCACAAGCAGATGATGAAGGAGGTGGGTGGAGGAGGAGTGATCTGAGGCAGCGTGCCTTACGCCACCCACCCTTCTTTCCTCCCTTTCCCCCACCCCCAATCCCTTAGACGGCCATGTTTGGGAGGGCGGAGGGGCTCATCAACCATTGCAAATGGCAGTGCCGCAGAATGGTGGAGGGGGGTGATGAAGCCAATCACTACGCCTATAAATCTTATGCCGAGAGGTATCTTAAGTGACTGAATGTGTGTAAAAACTGCAATGTGCATGCGTGTGAGTGTCTCTGTGTGGACGAGGTTGGGGGGGGGGGGGGGGGTTCAGCTTAAATTAATACTGCTTTCTAGGGAACCTGTAAAAAAAAGGGAACTCCTTTTATTTATTTATTTTCCTTGGCTGCTGATTAGTTTCATCCACAAATCAAACCCGTAACACCGCGGCCCGTTTGGTTTTTTGGACCGAAATGGCTTCCAGAATATTCTACCAATCTCATTCACTGAGAGATGCTCTGGTCTATAGACACAGCCTCCCTGTAGTCTCCACTCCCTCTCACGGTCTATCTGTCTCTCCTTTTCTCTGTCTTCGTTTCTATCGCTCTCTCTCTCTCTCTCTCTCGTTCTCTCTTTCACTGCCACCTGGCAAATTCACAGTCCACTCACGTCACATCGCTCTGCAAGGGCACCTGTGTCCTTCCCACCAAAAAAAATAAAAAATCCAGCTCACATTCCTGTGCCAACCTTTCCATTAGTAACATTACGAGATCATACCTAATCCCTTGGCCACGCAACCTTTTGGGGAGGCACATGCTTGCCAGCAACATGGGTTCAGAGTATGGGTAATTAGAGACAGAAATGAATGAAAGATGTTCATTCTGAGGAGAGAGGGGCAATGCTGATAAAAAGAGAGTCATTTCCCCCATTCAGCGTCCACAGCTCTTAAAGCGCAACAAGGGGCTCGGCTTTGAAAGCGCACAGGCTTTCTTCTCTTTGTTGCAACTGCCAGTCATGTTAATGATCAGTTCGGTAGGAAAAAAGCATGATCAATATCAGACGCAGTCGAGTGGCTGGTGATTACAGGGACGGCTGAGGATTATCAGACTGTCTACCAATATTGTCAAACAGGCCGTGGGTTTCCAACGTTACATGTAGATCACATGAGATGGGGGGGCGATGCTGAAACACGTCAAATAAAACACAAATGGTCGAAATGTGCATTTCATGAGCAGATATACAGAGAGCTTCGGTCATTGCTGCGGACCAAATTAGCATCAGATACTTATCAGAATGACCGGGAGATTGGCTGCCATTTCACCCCTGTAAATCTGATTTTTATGAGCTACGTCATATGCAAACACCTAAGAGACAATGCTACGCTAATTTGCACCATTAAATGTCATTTATTTGGACTACAAATATCTTAAATACATTGAGAGGGATTCTGGAGAGTGATAAAAGGGCCTGTAGACTGAATCTTTACTGAACATAGACCAGTTGATCTTAAATCAGTTTATCCAGTTAGGCTTTTTAGTATTGCCATCACTGAACTGAGATTTTATGGGAAAGTAAGGCTGCAGTTTTATCAATTTTTCCACACTTTCAGTTACCTTCGCGCTGGTTCCCTCCACAAAAAGCCAATGGAAGTTTTCCATTGAATTTAGGTGCTGCAGCGTTTGGTTCAGCGAGATCCTTTCGTCAAATGAACATCACTTTTATGACTTTTAAAGCAGAGATACAACCATCAGAAGAAAAAAGCTAATGTTAGCTATAAATGAGCTACACTACGGTCACATCACCTCGCATCACCACTGCTAAGCTAAATGCGTACTAGTGTTGTAGTGATGGCGTTTTGTAGTCTTATTTAGCCACCTGTTAGCAACCACCTTTCTTAAAACACGTAAAAGCTTGAGAATTCAGGAGAGGGGTATTTACTGATGTATTTTATATAATAGAACAAAACGTTAATATCTCTTAAGCTTGTGCTAACGACAGACCTTATTTCAGGTATCTAAACAAAAGCAAATTCAAAAAACACATTGTCTTTGTGGCGAGGGAACAGGAAGTGCAAAAATGCTAACTCACTTCTGGGTTTTAGGACTCAAATCTCCCGTAAGAAATGATCAGATGTATGTTAAACAGCTACAATAAATCTGCTATTAAAGGTCATAAAAAACAGTTACACTTGTAAATGTTCCTGAATGTTAACACTTATTTTAACATGATCAACATAAGGTGTTGTGGTGACAGTAAGTATATTGCACAGCACATTATAATCTACATTATGCGTTGCATGTGTCCACCTCTTTTGAGGGCGGTCACACATTGAATGCTCACAAGTGGTATTGTTTGGTTGACGTCCTTGACGAAGTGATCGGTTATTCTACACAGATAAGATCGTGTTTCGGGGGCCATCTGGAACACCGTTGCCTCTGAGGAAACAAGGCGGCCTTTTCAGAGTCAGACCATCATCAGGACACGATTAATAGTGCAGCACCGGCGGGGCTGTGACACAGAGACGCCTTGAATGAATATAGTCAGGCCGGTAAAACGGTGTGTGATACCATTACAGAAATCACAGCAACAAGTGAATTATGTATTTTTAGTATTCATTAAGATCCGCCAAATGCAATTTCACACCGCTTAGCTGTTCACATCACCTGGATATTGGACGGGGAAGATCACGGTGGAGTCTCCGTGCTACAAATTAATGGTGTCAACTCTCCCAGAAGCAGGAACACCATGTGACTTCTCTGTTCTTAGAGTGGCTTTAGGGGTGCAAATGGAGAACATGTGGGATGTTGAATGTGCTTTAAAATACTGTCTAGTGGCAAAAGGGTCCTTATGTGCCCTGCTGAAATGACATTTCTGAGGTGCAGTAAAGTCGCGCTAGTTAGAAATATATAATGCTGCTGTCATCGCATGGTGGGGTGTGTATGGGACACAAAGACAGACAAAGCAAATTTCAGTAACATATGGTGCCCGTTCTCCGCGGACGTCTAATTAACATAAAGTTCTTGAATAAGCGGTCCCTGCGAGCTGCAGACCATAACAATCACAACCTGAAATAAGATGCGCAGTAGCTGGCACACTGAGTCAGCCGTCATCATCACTCCCACGCTCCGACATCTTACTGATGAGGCAGGTGTGTGCACACTTCCCCTTCTTGCTGATGCTTTACTGGCCGCCACCATTTCTCCTCCAGAAAAAGAAATCAGGATCAATGGTTAAAATGGCACTGCAGTGTTTTTCTGCTGCCCCCCCCCACACACACATACACACACACACACACACATTCCCACAACCACCAAGTAGCTCTCACTATTCTCACCACTCCCCGCTGCAACGATGAATCGATTTGAGAGGGATTTTTTTTTTAAGAAAAAAAAAGTCTAAATTCTCTGATTCCAGCTTTAAATGTGAATGTTACTCCTCTATGACGGCAAACTGAACAAAACTAGAACATTGAGGATGCCGTCTTGGGCTTAGAGAAACGATGATTGAAATGTTCCCTTCTTTCCAACATCTATAGAACAAACAACTGACAAATTAACCGAGAAAATAATAAACAGATAGCTTGACGAAGGGAATAATCGTTAGTTGCGGGACTTTATATGTGTCAGAATTGTAATTTTACCGTTGAATAGTGTGATGACAGTTCAGACAAAAATACCAAACAGATGCTGAGATTTGGCTCACCCCGCGACCTATAAATAACCTGACTTTGATAGGAATCTAGGCTACAAGTGGTAATGAGTGCACCCTACTATCTCTACGCGGTTGTGTGATTTTCACTGGACAGGTTGTCCTTCTTAGCTCGCAACATTTCTGCTTAAAAAAATGCACACTTCACTCCTGACAGTGTTATGTTGAAGCAGAATCAATAAAACAATACATCTACAAAATCCATCGTGCATCTCAAGTGAACACTTCGGCTCTGTTACGTCTTGTCCTTATCTTGTCGGTGTTCACACAAATCAACACTGGACTGTGCAGGATCAGAGGGTCATTCCCTTTAAGGCTGAACAGTCAGCTTGTCTCCAGGGTTTTTAAGTTATTATAAAGCTCAGCGATACTGTTTCATTGTGACGTATTTGTACTTTACCAAGACTCATATAGGTGAGTGGTTCCCAAACTATAGAATCCAGTACTCACGAGGCAAGAGGTTTGACCTCACTACTGATTCTGTCAGCACTAGAACTGCAACGCCGTTTATGTTCTACTCCTGTTGTCTGTCACAAAAGGCCTCCTCACATAGTGTTGCTCTGGACAAATCAGTGGCGTATAGTTAAGACGGGCCCCAGTACATGCTAGTTACTGGCTATGAAGGGCATACACACACACACACACACACACACACACACACACACACACACACACACACCATTAGCTGTGGATATATTTTACCAACAAACAATTTGTTGGATTTTACAGTGGAAAGAATTACTGAGGCTATATTGTTGGGAAAGTAGAGAGGCCAAAGAGAAAGCTATCAGTGCTAGCTATTAAATTATTGTTTCATCACATGACCAAATAGAGACTAAAACATTAATATTACCATTCATTATTGCATACCTGTACATAACAAAAATACCATAGATAAGAAGAAAGTATTCATTTAATTGAATCATTTTCTTTTATAGTTAATGTAGAATAATAGTATCATTTGTCGTATATCGCTACTGAGTTTACCATTGAAATAAAAATGGAAGTGGTGGAGGTGGGTTTGCCTTTTTCGAGGGTTTATACCACTAATAGCTCCATAGTAGCTAAACTCAAGGGTCCATTCTCTGCCAATTTCAATGTTGGAGGCCCCCCCCCCCCCACCACCACATCTCTGCGGCCTCCCCAACCCAAATACCCCAGTACAACTACCTGTTTTTACACCCCTAGGGAAACAATTGCAGATTTATCTTGTGGCCCCTGCGCAAGAAAAAAAAAACACTAGATCCCAACCACACAAAAAACACAATAAACACCGTCAAACATTAAAACAGTACTTCACTGCTGAATGAAATACTTCATATAGAAGCATAACTCCAGATGTGAAGCAGCAGCGAGGTGATTGGGTTCACATTCAAAGCTGACCAGTCGGGCTGCCTGCTGTTCTCTCCGCGCTGAGATAATGCAGAGTACGAAGTAACAGCCAGTAACAGCAACACAGTTGCTACATGTTAAGAGCCCCCCCCCCAAACAAAATCTGCTGGTGCTGCATGCATGCTGTGTTTTACTGTCACACTTCCAGCAGTGCATGCAAAGGCTCCTGCAACAACTGACTCCATGTGGATAAGCTGCTTCTTGTTGTGCAGTCTCTTACCTCCAGTGTTGGTGCGCTTGGTACAGCCGGCCTCCTCCGCCGGAGTTTCCAGGGGTCGTTTGCGGGAGTCCGGGTTATCAGCCTCCATAAGGGGCTGCTGCAGGCTGAGGAGGTTAGGGTTGGAGTATATCCCGTTGTGGTCCACGGCCGCTCCGCTGCCACCAGCCATCATCATCTTTTTTGTTATGTTCCCTCCACCGGAGCTGTAGATAAATTTGCGCTATTCCTCCCCCCTCACACACACGGCGCCCTCACCACCACAAAACGCGCATCGCGATACGAACGACAAGTTTTTTGGGGGGGTGGTGTGCTCGGAGCGGTCTCAAAGGGATCAAAATGTCAGACAACACCGGGATCGTGGTCTCCTCTTTCAGCCCCGCTCGTCCCTCTTCACCGGGCTAAATATAAAAGATCCCAATGAGTAAAAATGCGCTCGTTTAACGCGCTCACCGTCGCTCCGTCAGCGTGGTCCTCATTGTTGACGCGCAAAACACAACCCCGCGCCTTGGAAAAATAAAGACGCACAAAAACAGTCTCGAGGGGCGACCGGCCATTAAAACAAGTGCAACAGCTTCGCAGAGGCGAGGTGGTGGAACAAGCTTTCTCTAAGTCATCCCCGCGTCATGTTTCTCTGTGGAGTCCTCTGTGTGATAAGTGCAGCTGTTGTTATTGTTGCCTTTGTAGTGCAAGAGGGGAGGAATATAGTTTGAGAGCTCCAGAGAGGACCACAGTGCCACTGACCGGCCGAATGACGAGGCCAATAACATCCATCTGATGTGGAGCAACTATTGACCGAAGCCACTGCTTCACGAAAATAATGTTTGTTTCATAGTTTAACACTGTTGTAAATGTTTCTTGCATTGCTTTTGTTGGTTCGTCTTTGTACTTTTTCTGAACCTCAAAATGTAACAACTTCATGATTATGTGAGCACCGATAATTCAAATCTGTCATTAAATCAATTTTTATATATAGAAATAAAAATAAATTGCTGCACTTCTTTCAGTGGAATTCTGTCACTGTCCCGAGACACAGAGTCTCAAAAAGATGAACTAAAAAAGGTAGTTTGCACTAGAAAGGAGTGAAATAATCTCACTCCATTGGCATCTGACATGTGAAAAAGTAACATTCAAGGAAGTGCACAGTAAATAAATACTCGACAAACAACAAGAACAGTGAGAGTGTACAGACCCAAATGTGATTTATTATCTGGAAAAGACTAAACACTCTACAGCACATCCTTGTTTTGACCACAGAGCAGAGTGTGACTGTTTTTAGGTGGCTAATGTGATGTTAGCATCTGTAAATGGAACTGTTAATGAATACTGAGAAAATCCTTCCTGTTCCACCGGTAAATGTGGCAAACACTTCAGTCTGATCCATCAGGACTCACATGTTGAAAACACACTGTTTTTCTTAAGATGATGGTGTCTGAGCTGCACACTCCTCTTTCTCAGCAGGAGCATCTTTCTCCTCGGCGTCCTGCTCTTTGGCCGACTCCGGCTCAGAGCCGGCCGTGAGTGCTGACACCCTGAGGGCGAGCCGATTGAGGACCAAATCGGCGGTGCTGGTGAGAGAGTGCTGAAAAGACGAGGGAAGGAAACAACACAACATGAGGTGAGGTACACATTACGCCGAGACAGATTTGAGGAAAGTCTGTTGAATTCATTTGCACAGGGGGAATATCGCCGCTGAAGCTTTGCTTTAGTAACGTCTGGGCCTGTGTTGAGCTGACGTGTGAGGGTGACTAAGCTGAAAACGCTGGAGATTTTTATTGTTTAAGTCATTATTAATGCCAACTTCACCTGCTCAGTGATGGAGAATAAATGCTGCATCACACTTTCACTGAAAAAAAATCATTTTAATTGACAAAAGCAAATAAAAAAAGCATTTTATTTGAGTATTTGGTCATCATGTCTTCATTAGTGTTACATCAGTTCAACTACTTCCTCAGAGGAGACAAAACGAGCACAAATCAGTTCTATCAATCCTGCTGCAATTTCCTCTGGTGGCCAGTAGAGGTCAGCAACTACTTGATGCTTCAAGTCACTTCGCCATTAGAAATAACATCTTTTCTCCAGTTCGAGAGCGTGCTTCTGTGTTTGACTTAGTAAGCGGATGATCTATCTATTAGGGTAATATGCAGAACAACAGCAGGGGGAAGAGCAGAGAGGCACCGGCCCTGATGGAACACAGCTTACTCTACATACCTGTAAGATATGCAGCCCCTTCAGCGTGAGGACAGCCAGCTCTCTCAAACCGTCCCCGGTCAAGTCTAAGTAGATGATGGACAGCAGAGGACTCTTGAAACTCCGCCTCCACTGCAGCTGAAACTGTCCGTCACTTCTTCTCTCTGCTGGCTGGAATTTGTAACAAAGAAGTTCCTGCACGGGCAAAAAAAGGCAGACGACATCGTCATCACCGAGATCTCGCCACATGAATCAGTCAAACTGATGAGATGTCCGAGAAAGTTAAGACAAACAAAATTATCTCATGTTTCATTATATTCAATTGCTGAATACGTCATTTTACAGTCATTGTTATAATCAATGTAATGCTGTCCAATGGGGGAGGGTAAGGCGTTAATGATGCGCCTACAATATTGGTCAAATAACATATACATGATATATGTTTTGAAAGAAATATTGTGTATGTATCCAAAGCCCAATAGTTCTTCTTCCTCTGTGCCATACAGCTCCATTGTTGTCCACAAACTATTAAAAACTCATCACTGATAAACACTGTAGCACTGGGTGACGTTTGACTTCATCAGCATGAACACACACACTCTGTTTTATTTCAACGCAATCCCACAAACACCATCCTGCTGCCCCAAATACTCAATAGAGCACCAAATGTGTATTAATCCACTGCTGGAAATAGTCCCCGACAACATGCACCGATTCCTCCTGTTTGAGTAATTGACCAGCAGTTTTAGGAAATTACTGAGCCTTTCTAAAAATTGATTGAAAGATTTATTTTATTAAAAAGATGTATGTCCTCAGTTGCACCTACTGTGGTTGGAGCTGAGAGCCACAGTTAGGCTGGGGAAGTTGGAAAGTTCAAGGGGAAGGACTAAGGCCTTGTTGGTTTTGATCTTTTCATGGGATTTATTGACAACAAAAAGATATGGAATTTGACCAGCTTTATGGTCGTCATGGAGGCGTAGCACCCACCCTGAAGTTCCCCCTCAGGTACACACTGTTAGTTCTGTTAAAGTACTATTAATAAAGTCTATTAGTAAAAAAGAGCTCTGACCTGCCCATATGTTCCCAACAGCACCTCCTTCTGCCCGTCAAAATCCAGGTCAATGACCAGAGCGCAGAGCACTGCGTCCCACTGGTCGCTCTCTGAGAGGCACACCGAGTGAGACAAGCCTCGCTCCTGGACATCTCTGAGAAAACACACACACACACACACACACACACACACACACACACACACACAAATAACACACTTATCTGAAGACAGAGACATTTTCTCAACCAAAATAATGTCAGAGTGAAAATGCCCAAAACCAAGCGATTGCTCCACTGATATCTTTAGAAAGTATTCTGACCTGTAGACAACTGCCATCTCTATGGTACTGGTTACCAGAAGATTGTAGCTTTCCATTTCCACACCTGGAAAAAACAAAAGACACACACCATCAAAGTCCTTGATTTTCTACCAGACTTAAATATCCACAGTGACGACCAGCCTCTCCAAAAAGGAGCAAATTGTAGAAGAGACAGACGGGGATGCTGTAGACGTGTAACTAAAATAGACCAGTAACATACTTCTCTCTCCGCTGGGCTGGTCGGGCTCAGTTTGGCAGCTCAGAGGGAACAGCAGCACTGAAGAGATTGGACTGTCAAACTGGAAGCGCCAGCTCTGCAAAACCTCTGATGGAAAAAAAAAAGAGAAAAGATTGTACATCCTTAAAACACACCTACTAGTCCTACAGTATTATCAGCATTACTGCATCTCGTAGTCATGTATTACAGAACAAAGATGGAATTTATTTAAAAAAAGATATATATGTCGAAAATCCCCCCAAAAAAGGAATTAAGACCAGTTTCCACACTTAAATCAAAAAAATATATATCTTTGCTTTGCATTTACATATTTGAAAAGTCCCTGCACACCCACAATGCAACAACACAGGCACATTTAATTACCGTGACAAATCACTCCCTATTTACTATGCACTTTTCTTAGCATGTACATTAGCTTCTGCTAGGAATCCTACAATGCAATGCATCACATGTCACAGATACAAAATGTACAACTGTGACACAGGTTACAATAATAACTTTGATGATAAAATGAATGATGGCTGAACTCTGATAGCTTTCAGGGTCCTGGTATTGCAAGCATGCTATCATGCCACGTGACCCTGCGTTGTTTTGACGGAGCCCCCTGTGTCGGCATCCCTGCGGCACCGCAGGACGCTGGCTCCAATCAAATGAAAGAAAGGGGCCGCCTCGATGGGGTTAACCAATAGCGAATGGGTGTAGCGCGTGCGAGGTAGAGCGAGGTATTCCGACTTTGGACTGTTCACCCATTAGTCCAAGATGGTTGCCCCCACTGCTAGCCTTGTAGTCGCATTGTATAAATAGCATGAATTGGCTACGTAATGCATTTGTAGCAGTTCATCAACAAGTCAAACCACATCCGTGTGTTCTGTGTTAATTTGGGGTTTTAGTTAGTAACTGACAGCGACGGAGGATTTGCAGCCATTTTGCCACAGGTTCGTTGACACCTTTCTAGTTCTTTTTCACAAAGTTGGTGATATAGTAGCTGTCAGAAACTCCTGATATCTCCAACTTAATTGAATTAAAACTAGGAGGCTGACCATTTTTTCCAGTTATGCTGCTTGTAATGGCAGTGTGAGCGATATGAGATGAGTGTGGGAGCAGCCCTCCTCTTGAATGACATCGCTCTAACTCTCCTGTTATGGTGGGACACATCGAAGCGATGAAGTCCAGTGGCCCTACTTAGTTCCTAGCATAGCTCCACAGAGGTCTAATCAGTCACAATAAGTAACACCTGTGCGGGATCGCAGTGCCTTTAAGCGGCACCCACACTGGCCTCATGAATAATGCAATAATGCAAAAGGTGCAGATGTGTTCAGCACCCCCGAAGGAAGGAAGGGGGGGGATTTCACTGTATTCCTCAATCACACTTTAGAGGGAAAGAAGTCATGTGATAGAGCTGAAATTCCATTATACTGTGTCTGGTCTCCCTCACCTGGTCCTGTCTGGTTGACCAGAGCCAGTCCAACGCAGCCATTCTGACAGCCAAACGCTGAGAGTCGCCGGCCACCAGCGATACTCAACATGTCCAACCATAGCACACTGTGTGGAGGGAGGGGAGACACAACCAATACACACACACGGTTATGGATCTCACACATTTAGCTCAGCAAATGTGTTCATATATTTATGCAGAACAAATGCTGGTGATGTCTTCATTCTCTGTGTGTTTTGTCTCATTGTGAATAATCTCAACTCGTCACTCTTTTCTTTGTCTGCTGAATGTCATATTGCTGATGTCCTCTTTTGATACTTTTATCACAGGCCGTGAGAACGACGCTAGTATTGTTTTCACCTTGTCTGTGTTTGAGTCATCTTCACTACACTGCTATAAAGTTTTGTGCCTGCATCTTGCACGGTTGTTGTGATGCTATTGTGGTCACACAATCAGACAAACAGAAATACCTGTGCCTAGTCGGTGTCTCCAGGACCCCATTTTGCCATGGTGACTCACAGACAGAAAACAATACCAGCGTCGCTGCTGGTATCTACAGATACAGAGGGACTAACTTGCTGGGCAGTTGTTGTAGTTCAGGGAAGAGTCTCTCCACTGGCTGCTCTTCAAACTGGTGGAGGGAGGCGTTCTGTTGGGAATAGGAGAATCAGGCACAATGAATCAAAATCAAACGTCTCCTACAGATATGCAAAACTCATTACCATCTTGTTTCATCTCTTTTGCTGAGAAAAAACAGCCTTCCTGTTGCTTTCATCCCTTTTAGAACATGAGTCGTCTCTTTGACAGAACAATGAATCTTGATGTTGTTTCCAACTTTGAAACTCAACTTCTAAGCCACTCAACATCCACATTTACAGAATCCATCTATTGAAGGAGTTCATGTGATGTGACTGAAAGCACCAGAAGGGCTTCCATGTTTAAGTCAGAATGTTGTGACAAATGATTCTTGTGTTTTCTACTCTTTTATACTTTAATTGAGAAGACAACCCTCGTGTAGTGGTCTTTTGGTATATTTACTTGAAAAATAACTAAACAAAATGTCGAAATAATAATATTCTATCGATTTTTGTTTCAATTTCCATTCCTCATCTCCACAGGACAAATACAGTTTAATTTTCAGAAATACTTCGACAAATACATTTAATTAAAGGGCAAAAAAAAAATGCAATGATAAAAAATATACAATAAAAAGAGTTATACAAATGAACTACATTATCTACTTTAGAGAGGTGTCAAAAAATAAGAAGTAATAATACCCACACATGAGAACATATACACTGTGTGCACAACTACAACTACAGCGCTCTCAGTCAATCCAAACTGTTAATAAACCTCAAACCTGAATATTAAAGAAAGTAAAAGTAAGGTTTTGGCTTTCTTAGGAGAATATCTATGTGTGCACAATTATTATGCAACTAAATGAAAAACTTGAACATTTTCCCATCTCACTTGTTTATTGTGATCCGTTAAAGTGAGAATAATAAACAAAAAACTCAAAATTTACAAATAAACATTTCTGACATTTCAAAAAAAATAAAAAATCAGTGCCCAATACAGCCCCCCTTCTTTTCAATAATAGTAATAAGCCTCCATTCATGTATTCTGTCACTTTCTTGATCTGTTGACAATCAACCACAGCCTCCCACACACTGTTCAGAGAGGTGGACCTGTAAATCTCCCGTTTAAGAAGGGCCCACAAGTTCAACAAGTTAGCTTTGGGAGTTTATTTTGAGTCCATCTTCAACCTGAAAAGGTCCAACTAGCTCATCTTTAATAATACCAGCTAGTTGGACCTTTTTCGGGTTGAAGATGGACTCAAAATCAACTCCCAAACCTACGGCCAGTTTTTAGAAGACACTTTCTTCAAGCAGTGATCCAGGAAAAAGTCTGCATCTTTATTAAAGAAGACCATGAGGACAATGCTCCATCGCATGCATCCAAGTACTCCACTGCGTGGCCAGCAAAGGCCTTAAAGATGAAAGGATACTGACATGGCCCCCTTCCTCACCTAAACCCTACTGAGAACTTGTGGGCCCTTCTTAAACAGGAGACTTACGGTGAAGGAAAACAGTTTGGATTGACTGAGCGCACTGTAATGAATCCTCAAAAATACAACTTGCCTAATAATTGTGCACACAGTGTACTCACATAAACACACAATTATTTACATACACACATTTCTACATAAATAAGAGGAAAAGATTTAATCTACATTTTCATGTTTTGATCAAAATCTTATCCTACACACACACACACACACACACACACACACACACACACACACACACACACACACACACACACACACACACACACAGACACACACAATCTGACCTCCTTGTACAGGTGGATCCTCTGGTCGTGTCCACTGAGCAGAAACACCGTCTCTCGGCCTCCTTCGTCACACTGCACCCTGTCAGAGAGAAAAGGCCGCTGACATTCCCCATCCAGATGCACCCCGTCATGTTACTCTGTCAGACACTGTCCGTACAGACGCTGCTGACTGACAACGTGACGACCTTGACGACACTAAAACCCATAAAATCCGATTTGGAGCCGCATATTAAATGAGACACGGTAAAATGATTGATTCCTGCTGTGAAATCAATTCACTGTAGCAATAGAAGTACACCGTTTCACTGAGGCACTAATAATGTATAAAAAATGAAAAGTCGTATGTTTATATGAGTGTGAATACATATATTAATGGGAATGTTGTTGGCCTGTTTAAATCGAGCATAATCAATAATCACAAGGAGCTGCTGATGTAGAAATAAGTGTGAAAGAAAACACAGTTATTTTGATTCATATCATTGAGTCTACATAAACATTTTCTACTCACAAAGTCGCCTCCTACAGATGTAATTGTAAATCTATCAGTGACACTACATCACATTATTGACCACAGTGGGACACTGATTGGACTGTGAACATTTACTATACTTGCAGTAGAAGAGTGTGTGAGCTGCTTTGTGACGACGTCTTCCCTTTGCTCCGTTGTGAAGGAAAGCTGCTCCTTGCTGGTTCGGCCTGCAGCGGTAGTTAGTTGCCATGCCAACTGAGGTGTGAACTGGAGCTCTCTTTGTGAGACTGAAAGGCCGGGATGAGCCCCC